AAAAAAACAGCGTTCCCGCCTGCTTCCTTTTTGGGGGCCGCCTCCTATTTTTTTTTAATTTATTTATTTATTTATTTTTTTATTTTTTTTTTTGTTGAAAAAAACAAAACATGAAAAGCACTGCTAAAATGTATTTCTGATTTTAAAAAAGAAAAAAAAAAATTGTCGGCCGCCATCTTGAAAAATAGCCTGAATGTCAGGGAAAATGTACGGAGCGGCCATTTTGAAAGAAAAAAAGAAGAAAAAAAGGGCCTCCTTCCCATTTTTCGAAAAAACAGGACGCTAAACATGTTTTTTTTTTTAATTTGGCCTTATATAAAAAAACAAAAACGATCCAACTATACCGGTAGTTATTCTTTAAGCCACTGGAACTGCGTAGAGTTCCGTAGTGTGGCGTACCGACTACGCAGAAATTAGGCTGCGTATTAATGGGAAAATAGTCCCTGTGTAGGTTATGCGTAGGCTGGCGTACAGGTTTGCTTATGGTTGCTTACTGTGTGGAAAGCTTTTACTGCTTTGTCAATCTGGCGTAGGGTAGCGTACTGTTGCGTAGTCATGTAGCGTAGTGTTGCGTAAAAAGGCGTACTTTCTGCGTCAAGTTTCTACGCCGAAAGTACGCGAAAAAAATTTAACATGTTGAATTGTTTTCGTTCATCCTGCGTACCCCTTTCCGTCCCCCAGCATATAGTAACGTAGGCCAGCGTAGTTGGTACGCAACACTACGCAACTCTACGTATTGACCCCACGCCAAATAAAGTATTAAAAATATGCTCACTGACCCTAATTAAACGCCTAAACCCCCCCGAGCTTTCGGGGGTTTATGGCCCCTTGAAACCCGTGGACCCCACGCCTACACTCAACTCGCTTCGATCTACCTGATCCCCCTCGCCCCCCCCCCCCCCACAACCCGTGGACCCCACGCCTACACTCAACTCGCTTCGATCTACCTGACCCCCCCCCCCCCCCTCCCACACTTTGAAAAATGTTTTGTGGGGTCTGCATGTAACATGTAAGATGCAGATTTTTTTTGTAACATGTAAGATGCACAAAAAAATATTTTGCCCCCCCCCCCCCCCCCCAACGATCTTATGGCACTTCGGCCTGCCCGCTGTTGTGTTCACGTGTAGGCCTACTTCAATGAATGGATAGACATAAATAGTCGCATGGATGGATACATAATATAGCGTATAGTTGTCGAATATTGGCATGTTTGGCCCTTCATAGTCTCTTCGACTCTGAATAGCTAGCTCACTCACTCACTCAGCTCAGTGGAGCAGCCAGCGCAGCTGCACTGCACTACACACTGTATGCGTACGGCAGAGCTCTTGAAACTGAACGATGTTTTTCTCTGATTTTCTTGTGAAAACTTTCCTTTAATAAATGATAATCAAAACTGAGTAAACATGGCCAGAATAATCACAAAATAAGCTTTGATTTCATACCTCCACTCACGAAAACTATATAAAAATCCCGGCAATAATGATGGAAATAGGTCTCTAAGTTTGGACGTGGATATGGGAAGACATCTGTTGCGCCGATTTTAGGCCTAGATATCATGAAATAAGCTAATAAATATCAAATAAAAACTCGACTCGTTTAAATTTTAAATATGAGGTCTACATTTTAATTAACATAAAAAAAATGGTAAAGATTACAACATCTAAAATATACAAAACAAACACGGGGAAGAAAAAAAAAACACTTGAGACGGAGGCGGGATCGAACCCGTGCGTGCAAAAAGTGCGAGAGCTGCCGGCGAATCGAACGCAACCGGCGCCTCAGACCGCTCGTCCACTTCCGTTTCATGCTAAAGCATGAAATTCGCGACGCATAAGTGGGACGTGCGGACGCATCGACGACGTCGATGACGACCGGGACGTCGCACCGGGCCGGGACGTGGCCAATTCCGTAGATTGAAACCCCGTCCGTCCGCGGGACCGCCCGGCGGCGCCCGGGGGCGGGCGGGAGGGGAGATTTGGGCGCCGTAAAATGGACCCCGGATACCCCCCTCGACGCCTTAGCGTATTATTATATGGATGACTAGCAGGACCCGCGGAAATCCGCGGGATCCTAGAGGGGGGCGGGGGGTGTAAATAGATATATAGAGACTGTCTAAATTAAAACCACCAAGAACTTTATTTGCCATTCAGGCCATTAAGAAATATACATGTTAAGCGTCCCCGCCCGCTTCCTTTTTGGGGGCCGCCTCCTATTTTTTTTTTTGAAATTTTTTGAAAAGTTTTTTTTTTTTTTTTTTTTTGAAAGAAAAAAAAACAGCGTCCCCGCCTGCTTCCTTTTTGGGGGCCGCCTCCTATTTTTTTTTTTTTTTTTTTTCATTTATTTATTTTTTTTTTGAAAGAAAAAAAACATGAAAAGCACTGCTAAAATGTATTTCTGATTTTAAAAAAGAAAAGAAAAAAATTGTCGGCCGCCATCTTGAAAAATAGCCTGAATGTCAGGAAAAATGTACGGAGCGGCCGTTTTGAAAGAAAATAAAAAGAAAAAAAAAGGGCCTCCTCCTTCTCATTTTTCGAAAAAACAGGAAGCTAAACATGTTTTTTTTTTAATTTGGCCTTATATAAAAATTAAAAAAACGATCCAACTGTACCGGTAGTTATTCTTTAAGCCACTGGAACTGCGTAGAGTTCCGTAGTGTGGCGTACCGACTACGCAGAAATTAGGCTGCGTATTAATGGGGAAATAGTCCCTGCGTAGGTTATGCGTAGGCTGGCGAAAAAAATTAAACAGGTTGAATTGTTTTCGTTCATCTTGCGTACCCCTTTCCGTCCCTCAGCATATAGTAACGTAGGCCAGCGTAGTTGTTACGCAATACTACGCAACTCTACGTATTGACCCCACGCCAATTAGTGACCCGCAAGTGTCACAAATAAAGTATTAAAAATATGCTCATCTGACCCTATACGCCTAAAACCCCCGAGCTTTCGGGGGTTTATGGCCCCTTGAAACCCGTGGACCCTACGCCTATATTATATATACACTCAACTCGCTGCGATCTGATCTCTCCCCCCCCCCCCCCCCCCCAACTTTGAAAAACGTAACCCCCAAGCTTTTGGGGGTTTATGGCCCCTTGAAACCCGTGGACCCCACGCCTATATTATATATACACTCAACTCAGGACCCGCGGAAATCCGCGGGATTCTAGAGGGGGTGCGCAGGCAAAAAATTAAGTTTTTCATTTCAGGGGCTCCATTTCAAATTTTAGGGAAATTTTCTGGGGCTCTTTTTTCTGGGGCTACTTTTTCATTAATTCATATAAGGATAGGCCTACACTTTGTTGAGATTTGTTTAGTAGGCTATTAGGTTTCAGGCTTCCTGCTTCATAATTGCCTATTTAAAAAAAAAAAACATTTTTCTAGTTCAATAACTAAGTTTTCATGCATTGATTTGATGCAAGAACTGTAACATAATAGACCCTAGATTGTGATTATTTCTGACCATGAATTTCGATAATCATTTTTCAAAGTAAAATTTTCACAGGAAAATCAAACAGTCTTTTAAAAACGTAGACATTAGAGTCTAGTAATACTTTTACTAATTCTAAGCTCAGGTTTCGTAAATCTATTCACGAAACTATATTGAAATCGCGGCAATAATGATGCAAACCAACAGATAACAATTTCAAAGTGTCAAATCTCTTCGACTCGAATTCAACTCACACACTTTCAACTGCAACTCAGCTCATCTCACACACACTACACAGTGGCAATGCACTGTCAGTTACGGTGATTTTGTCTGATTTTCTTTACTTTGAAGAAATGATTATCAAAATTACGTAAACATGGCGAGAACATCACAAAATAGGCTTTAATTTCATACCTCTATTTATGGAAACTTTATAATATTGCAGCAATCGTGAATTCGTGATGGAAATTGATTGCAGTTTCGCGATGTTTAGTGGTTCATGGTCTAGATTCAGCTTCTACCAAAACAAAATCGACCGCCAAAAACTCGAGCCCTACGCTCCGTCTCGATCTGGCAACTGCGAAAATGTACGTGTTTTGGCGTACTTGCGTGCGACATGGTAAGCCAGGTAAGGTATGGAATATGGTTCGAGTTTTTTTACGACCGATTTTTGTGTATACAATTTTATACGGATACTCATCGGTCGTGTGTCAATGTTGAATATCCATGAGGTATCTCTGTCGTCACGCATATCCTGCATTATGCATGTCGCGTCTGTTTTCGCCCTGGACGTCGACACGGAGGAGGACCTCGGGCGGAGTATAGCCAATTCGCTAGAGTAGACTCTCCCGCGGACGACGGCACCGGGCACGGGTACCCCGAGGGCAGGGTTCAGGAGGAGATAGCCGCACCAACTTGGGTCGGCGATCTCATTAAAAAACAATAGAATACAAAGGCCGGCGGAGACGTCATGCCCCCCCGCGGAGCCTTAGCGTATTACTATTATAGACTATTGTCAATATAAAAAATAAAATAATCATCTTTAAACTTTTTGTTAAACCGTTAAGTGATTATTTTCATATACGTTATCTGAATTAAAGGTTTTTGCCATTCCGTTACCGCGTTTTGTAATCTTTATAACTTGTAAGATATTCCAGCTTTGAATGAATTAAATATTTTCCCGTACCCTTAGTGCGTGGTTATTCAATCGTAATCAATCCCATTGGTTGAGTAATCTTAGATTGCTGATAGCATAATCAAATTAAAAAAATTAATAAGGATTTTTTTAAATGTTTTTTTTCCCTTTGGAAATGCTTTTCCTCTGTTGTATTTTTAAGTAAGGAAGAATTTGCAAATTTCGTAGATTTCAGATGGGCGAAGAAAAAACTTTATTAGGCCCAAGGTCGACTTCGTTAAAGTGAATCACGATAGGCCTATTCGTCACGGTTTCGTCGCGCTTTCGCCCCCCCCCCCCCCCCCCGTCAAAAGGGGGGTTATTGGGCTGATACCTAGGAATAACGAAAATGGGAAGAGGACAAAAGAGATAGAGAGAATAAAGCAGATAGACTACGCAACTCTCATTCTGCAGGTATAAGATGGTTCCGTTTACGGTTAACAGACAGACATTTCTCTAAACGTTTCCAAAAGTATTTCTGTCCCTCATCATCATCCTCCATCCATTTTACATATGGCCCTTGACCTCGCATGTACAATCTGACATAAAATGGCATCTCATCTTCTTCAATGTTCTCCAGGAACACCAGTAGGATGTTCTCTGTCTGGGTATCGGCCACTTGATCCATTGCCATACGGAAACATGTCATAAACCAGTCATCAGCGCAGGCAGCTTTACTCACTAATACAATAATTTTAAAGCTTTTTGTCAAGACGCGATCTACGGCTTCCGTTCGATGCATGCCAATGGGAAGATCATCATCCGTGAAGACGTTTCTGCTTCGCTTGTAGTACGGCAATCCCTGAAAATATGGTTTCAGTTGGTCCTGAATCCAATTCTCATCATCCTCTGTCGATATGACGTAGATGTCAAAATCGTATTCCTCGCGATCGTTTTCGTCCAGGATTTCTCTGTAGCCCAAAATGGCGAGGCGGAGAAGGAAGAGTTTGTACCTCAGTTGCCATCTGTAGTGGTAAACGATGACGATGACGATAACGACAATGACAACGATGGAGACTGTTGAAAAGTATACAAGGCAATTCGTTGTGCAGAGATCGTTTGGTTGGATGGATTCCAGTGCCTCTCCTCCAAAAGGTTTCAGTGATGAGGATGAGCATGTTGTTTCTTTACCATTCTGAACATCTATGGCTCCACGCAACATCTTGATTAACCATTGCGATCTGCAGGAGCATTCGATTGGATTTTGTGATAGATCGATTGAAGATATCATATGATTTTTAGCAAATAAAGCCTTATCGATATAAACCAATGCGTTATTTCCAATTGAGAAGATACTCAAATGAATCAGGTTGTCGAAGATATGCAAGGGAAGTATTTGTAAATCATTATTTTGCAGAGATAGAGTGTTCAGTGAGGTCATCGAAGCAAAGGCGCTAGATTCGATCGTGAAAATGTGGCAGTCACTCAAATCGAGAACTTGTAACGCCAAAAGGTTTTCAAAAATCCCAGACGGTAAACTGCCGATATTGTTTTGTTTCAGTCCGAGATACCTTAAATTGTCAAGTCCTTGAAACAAAGATATATTTTCAAATGAATCCCACAGTTCACCCAATTTCACATACGAGTTATTTAATTCGATGCTGTTAAGATATGGCATGGACTGAAATGTTTTACCTGGAATTAAGGCAGAATAATATCGCGACCATTTGTAAGGTCTGAAGGTGAAGACGAATGTTTCGAGAAGTGGAGAACATAAGGTCATTCGTGCAATTTTGGTTCTGGACACATTAAGCGTTCGTAAGCTGTCAAGTTCTGATAGAGATGTAGTTGGTATAAATATTAACTCAGCATTGCCAGCCAGGTCCAATGATGTAAGATTTGTCAGACCCTTGAAGGCAAATGGACTCAAGCAACTCAACCTCCCAAGAGAGTTCTCTGACAAATCCAGTTCCCGAAGATCAATCTTCCAAGATGACCCTGAAGGGTTGACTTGCTCTATCCATGTGACACTGGCTGTAAGACTTCGAAGTTCCTTCATGCCATCAAAGAAAGCAGGCTCCAGAACTCCTATATGAAATATCTCTAACACCATCTCATAAACGGATGTTAGATTAGCAAAGATGGACGGGTAAAACTTGAACTCGTTTTGTCCCAGCCGTAGGTAGGAAAGCCTTTTACCACGCAATGGATCAAAGAAGTCACGAGGGACATCGTTGAATGCTTTCACCAGAAGCAGTCTATCTATCTCAGATTGAGCGATACCCGTAAACAAACTCTTCCATACTTCAAATGTTTGCCCTTGCCCTGGCCCCAAATATCCAAATTCCAAAGCACGAATGGGATAATCAGCAACAACATCGGCATCAATTTTCTTGTAATTATTCCCACCTAGCGTGAGCATCTCTGTCTTGCAAGGGACATTTAGAACATCAGCTGATATTTCTTGAAATGTGTTAAAACGGAAGTCTAGAGTAGTCAGTGTTCTTTTGGGGCACTCCGAAATATTGATATACGTTAGTTCATTCCCCCTTAAACTAAGGCTCTGTAGCTGGGGTAAGAATCCAAGGGTCTCATTTGGGAAGTATGATAAATTGCAGAATTGAAGGGACAGACTCGACAACCGTTTGGACTCCTGAAACATATCACTTCCGGGTAGGGTGAAAATGGGGTTAAAGTCTAGGATCAAGCTGGTCAGTTGGTCTACAGGAAAGAAAGTCGCTAAATCGATAAGGCCGATGAGATTGTTAGCCAGGTTTAACTTCTCCAAGAGAGAATACCTGAGGAATGACGTATTCCAGAGGCTTCGGATGAGGTTTGACGACAGATCAAGCGAGCGGAGATCATTGATAAGGTTACTGGGTACGTCTTTCAGCTGCTTATCTGAGCAATCAGCCATTTTCTCCGGGATATCCACGTTACACGCAAAGCTCTTACGAGTACCGCTGAAATGACCTGCTATGGTTCTAATTCCGTGTTCATTATGTGGCCGGAACTCCTGGCGCGGGGACACCAGGATAAGTGAACATAACAGGAGGATGGATAATTGGAAAATTGTCTTCCACGTCATGATGTATTACTCTCCTCAACAGAATTGGTTTGGGCTATAGTAATAGTGCCTTGTGCCTTCTTCTTTAGCGACTTTCAAGAACGTCCGTCAAAGGTACTTGTATAATAATCCTTTGGTTGCATACACGAGGACATCAGGTCCCAAGGTTTTCCCGCGTGCACACATTCACAAGATATGCTGAGATAATGATAGTGCCAACGACTAATATTGCTTGGATGGAGCCCGATGCCAATATCACAATATCATAAAGCACGAGTAAACCCGGAAATATGAGTTGATAAAGGTCGTATTATAAACCTGTTGTTCTTGGAAAACTATTGCTGGAAGCCTGATATTGAGAGAAAGAGATGGAAGGAGATTGTGTGTATAGTATGATCAGGCACGTAGCCACAGGGGGGGGGGGGGGGAGGGGGGGGGCACGTGCCCCCCCCCCCCAAAAAAAAAAAATCCAAGATCGGTTGAATTTTTTTAGACCCCTTTTTTGACCTCGATTGATTACATGTAGGTGCCCCCCCCCCCCAAACATTAAACTCTGGCTACGTGCCTGAGTATGATAGAGAGAGATAGACAGACAGACAGACAGAGTGGGAGAGAGTGGGATAGAGAATGTGTGAGACAAGTGGCGTGTCCAAGTTGTTAACAGGGGCAGAGTCCTCAAACGGGGGGCGTGCTGTATAGACCTATTGTAAAGGGTATATTTTCTTGGTCGTGGTCGTTCAAACGGGCAGGCGGAGGGTGGGGGGATGGTGGGGGAGGGGGTGTACGTCCGCTTCACCTCATGTTGGGTTATATATACTTTGAACCTTCATGTTAGGCTATATCAATGGAGGGGAAAATTCCTTTTGTTAAGAAATCAAATTAAGTAGCTTAATATACCAGGAAACCTCAATATATACAAGGAAGCCCCTCGGGATCAATGTTAAGGAAAAGAAAACATATTTACCCTTGTCAATGCAGAAAGTGAATGATCGTGTTTTCGAAATGACTGACAATCAAGTTTTTATCAAATATTGTCCGGAAAATCTACATTAGGAATAATCTTTCACCAGGGAAACCTATATAGAAACAAATTAAGACTATTATGTGTCTTCTATGTCATATGAACCCCAACAATTATTGAAGGAACTTTCTGCGCAAACCATGGCTTCAAAAATGTAGTTTACAAAAATGGAAATTTGTATATACTAGTGTAAATGTTATCCGCTTTGTTCTAAACACATGTCTGGATGTAGACTTGATATCTTTAAGCATCGTCTGATCATTGATTAAATATTCGAAATTGATGGACACGCGCCGTGACATCAAAATAACAACAATATTGACCGCTGCTGTTCAAAATGTTATGACATGGACCGATAAAACTATAATACCAGCAACAGGGAGGGGGGAGGGGGTATTCGCATTGAGATTACATGTGAGTGTGCAGGTGAAGCCTCCAAACTAATTTGTTGAGAGGATGGATTGTATTCTGATGGTGTTCAGCTTGTAATTGATCATGAATGCTAATTGTGTAGCCGATTCTCCTATTCTTTGGAGGGTGAAACGTGTTTGGAAATGCTTTAAATGTGGTCGTTCATGAAGTCCAATGGTGTTTTCACATTTTGCTTAGAAGATGAATTGTGTTTTCATCGACTGATGTCGAGATTGTCATTCTGTTTGAGTTTCATACAGACTAATGCAACTTTGTTTTCCACTCCAATCCTTCATACGTACAGAGGAAAGAAATTCTCTGCATAACGATACAACTCACTCTCTACCTATTGATGACAAAAGCAATACTAATGTTAAGGAGTCACCCCAAGAAGAAAAAGTGTTTTGAATTGATGCAAAACTCATATCATTGCGAGGGGGAAGCCTTACTGATCAAATACAACAAATTTCCTCTTCAAAATATGTTTGGGGCCCGCAGTAATCAACTTTCAAAAATCTTATTTTGAGATCCAAATTTTCTGCCTTCAACGGTCCTTTGTAGAGCGTCAATATTTGTGACGTCACAAACGGGACACGGCTGGCTAGCTGCATACTGCTACACGGCACTGAGCTGTTCGTCCAGTGTGTGACGTCACTATTTAGAGCTCGCTACGCTTGTATGTTTGACTTACGTTCAGGGGCGTTCGGGGGTCTAAGGAGGGTCTTCAAAAATTGCATTTTACGCCTTTCCATGATATCTATATGATTTCTCAGCAAATTGTTCGTGTTTTTCAAGAGAAAATCTTTCCATCCATATGTAATTTGTTCTAATTATGAGTTGTTAGTGAATTTTCTTTGTGTAGCTCCTTTAAACAAAGCACATTTTCAGAATTCTAATCAAAAAAAGAAAACAACATTGCATCGTTGAATGTTTAATGACTATCAATCTATATTCCACACGATTGGAAAATTCACTCTTGACATTTGAGGAGAGACAAGGAAATTGAAATTTTAGAAATTACCTGATAATAATACTTTTTTTGGATACTATTTGGATTTGGTGTAGCCAGAGGCGTAATAAGCAAAAACTATTTTGGGGGCAGGTGGCATAATGGGCAATTTTTTTTCAAGAGGGGGGGGGGGATGCGGATATTGACGATAACGGTGAGAAAAAAACTCGGAAAATCATGTAATTTCAGCAACTTTTGTAAATCACTGGTATCGAATTTGAAGGAAGAAAAAAAAGTTTCCCCCCCCCCCCCCCCAGCAGTACACCAGTGGGTGGAGCCTTTCAACTATTTTTTTCAGTGGATGAAACAGACACGGACGTCCTCTTCCATCTTGGCTGAAACAAATCTTCTAATATTCATATCCTCCACAATTCTAAAATTGGGGGGATTAAGGTATTATAATAATAATAATAGGCCTATTGATAATCAGATTTTATTTACCCAGGGTAGCCACATCAGTAGAATGCTGTTATTCCTCCATTACCCCCAACAATTGCCAGTTACCAATTAACACCTGGGTGAAGAGTGGCAAACCTGGATTAACATATTGCCAAAGGGCTGTTAGTGCCAGTCATTGATTCGAACCCTAAACCCTTGGATCGAGAGTCAAGTGAATAGATCACTATACCTCCAAGCTGTCCATTACAAAAAAATGGTAACAACTCTGGTACAGATTCATACTTCTACGCCTACCTCAGTAAGAGACCCTCTAGAACTCCTAAGAACTTATAAAGCCTTCTGATTCTCACTTTAAAGACACATGTTATTGTGGATTCTGCTCACAACCCTCTCAATCTTGATCACTCATTCTTTCCCATTTCTTTCCTCTTTCCATGTCAGCTCATTTCTCTTGTACAAACACCAAAACAAACAAAAAACAAAATAGGCTTGTGTTAGTTTTTAATCATTTGTTTAAAATCCATTATCATCTATTTCCTTTCCCTCCCTTTCGACAATAGCATACATCAATATTCTTTTCAGTAAGGCTACCACATGGTGCTACCAAACTCCCTAATAGTGAATGCTACTGCATGTCAAGCAATTTGATTATTCTGCTTATCTTTTCAACTTGTTAATTTTCTCGATATGTGTCATGGTTGGTGCCCCAATCACAAATTTGTTTTCAAACTTCTTCAGGGGCTCCTAACCCCATGTTTTTATATTTTCATGAATTATTATTGTATGTGTATTTTTTATGGTTGAATAAATAAATTGAAATTGAATTGAACTTATTCCCTTCAATGTCTAATCAAACATCAAAAAATATTTCTAGAGCCTCATTACTTGCCAAAAGTTATCTGATCAAAAAAATAAAAATATTCAAGTAATTCAAATCAGACCTGCTCTACAATTTTCCGCATGCAATTCATGATGCAGCCTATTTTGTGTGCAGTAAAATGCATTTTTATGAACACTGTCTACATATTTCTGGAAACAAAATACTGAATGTAAATTAACACCACTATATTACAAAGTATCATTGATATGGTTTGTTACTCAACTAATCTAGATCTACGCAAATGTTTGATAACATTTCATTCACTACAAATTTCAATATGAAATTCTCTTAAACACACATTACACGAATGCACTGTTTAATTGCAAGCACAAAATTGATAGTGCTTTTTTTCCAAAATTATTTTATAGGGCTCTTGATCCAATTACTCTACACATGATATTACAACATGAAGCAGAAGAAAATACAAAATTCTACATTGAAATTGGGGATGGCCTGCAAAAACAGTGATTTGTTGCCAATTAATGGAATACAAAGATGGTTTAGTGTAGTAATCATGAATTAATAATACCGAGTTGCTCATTTCCTACATATTGGTTTCCAGTCAAAGATTTTCGAAAACCTACCAATATACACCCAACCTTGTACATACCATACATCTTGATGTTCAAGTGAATCAATCACCAGAAAATACTTTGTGCTAGTCTACTTTGTTCTGTATGTTAGGGTTTTCACGTCATGATTATAATTAAAATACAGTACGAGCTTCAAATATAGAATCTACAAGAAATATTGCAAGTTCAAATGGACTCTCAATGAACACCAAGACGAAAGGTGATTAGACTAGTTGACACACCTGTACATGCTTGCAATAGAATAGGGTGTGCACGGAACTCAACATGGGTTCCATATATGTCAGATTTTTATGTTATCCTTTCTTTTCTTCATACCTCTTAACCCATATAATGTCTATTTTATTTTTGTTATAGTAAGTCAATTCTAGCTGCATACAAAATTTACTTTTAGGTGATTAGTACATTGTGATGTTTGTAAGGTACATTAATAATGAATGAATTGCACAACAGGTGTAACAAAAATGTATATTCACGCAACACATGCTCAAGAAGAAGAACAGCGGGTACCTCAGCTTTCTTAATACACAGGTACTTCACAAGTTCACACCGTTAAAATAATGTTCTCAGACTCCTTTTCGAGATGTGTCAATATTGACATTGAAAGCAAAAATGCTGTCATTACAATACTTCCCCACATATTTGTGTGAATATAGTACTCATTTTGCATTTCGATAAAAAATGAAAATTTTGCTTTGCAAATCCTAAAGAGCTCATTTCATATTTTCAATCCATTTCAATTTTTGCTACACTGTTTTGTTTAGTACAGATTAGTGTTTATATTCTAATGATTTGCATAATCAGTCTCGGGGATACACTTACTATCGTAAGGCAATGTGAAACACATATTTTTTTGCCCACAGAAATCCAAAAGAAAATAAGAATTTGACTTATTTTGTGTTTCAACTTGCAAACAAACATCCTAACAAATTTCCACAGCTTCAACCAATACAGTTAAGGTAAAATAATGTTCTGCTCACAAAATGAATGCATTATTTGTTGGGAAGTGGGAAAAGAAGGGAACCTTGATCATGGGTTAGATTCTACAAAGATATCCCATGTGGAATTGCCCTTTCACAAATCAGCTGTACTCTACATAATGTTATGGTTCCATATTGAGTACAGACCACACAGTTATTCAGGAAATGGAAAAGACTGGAAAATATACTATTTAAACTCCCAGTACATGAACTTGAGATGTTTTTTCCAAACAAATACATGTATGTATACCGGTAGGTGTTTTTTTAATGATTGTGGATTAAATTCCAAAAATATTTCTGAAGACTTTGTCCCTTCAGGAAATGCCCTAGATTATTCAACAAATATGTTAAAGTTCATGTGTATACCGGTCAGGCAAACACAAGTCAATAGTCATATGGTTTCATATTTTATATACATCACATAGTTTTTCAGGAAATGTAAAAAGACTAGAAAAGATATCATGTGCATTCAAGGAACCTATACTCAAGATGCTTCCAGACAAAGACATGAAGAAAGTGAGTATTTCCTTGTACACAATGTAAATAATGCCCTGACGATTCCTCAGTGGTTTTACTGCATATTCGAGGATATTGGACCCCTATTACGCATACAGTCAAACAAAAACATTTTCCACTATATATGACCCCTATTTGACGGAAACGGGTAGAAAATAGGCTTTAAATAGAACCCTATTTGGGGCATACCAGGTAGAGTACCTTATTTTCACAAAAATGTTGTGCAGGATACAAATAAACTTGTTTGAATACATAGAGAAAATATGATCTTTTTTTGTGAAATATCTTGCTCTTTTAAAAAAAAATACAATTTTTTTCAAATCCAAAATAAAATAAAAAACTTTTTTTCTTCAAATCCATTTCTCAATGTTCTCAAACAACCCCCGGAAATGACCAAATATCATGCTCACACCAAGTCAATATGAAGTGATACCAACGGGGACAATTCTAGCTCACCATGGAAGGAGGAACCTTGGGGTTTATCCTCAGATACATACAAGAGACTGGTCCCTCCCCAATGAGTATAAGATTAACTTCATATCCAGCAACCATTAACTATGATTTATATTTTCCTCCGTGGCACTTTTCAAATGTCAATGAAAATATTTCCCAGGAAATTCAGGGAAGATTTGGAGGCATACAAGGGGCGTATCCATTAAGAGCCTTATAGCCAAACTCACCCTCAGCACCTATGTATTACAAAATTTCTGTATCTCATCCAGAATATTATTTCAATAATTATTTTTGCCCTCTCCCTCCTCCACAATCCTGTCGAAAAGGCAAATTAAAGAGACTACTTGGAGAGCAGCGTTTCTATATTCTTAAAGGGAGCCCAACTTCAGCCCCCTTTCAGGGCTTGTATCCAGCAGTGTAAAAAAAAAATGTCTCCAAGAACTCTCGGTAATTTAGTAAGTTGCACTGACAATTGACCCTATTTATGTATTTGGGCAATTTGGTGCAATGTGTCCCCGTAAAACATTAATTGTATCCAATTATTTCATCCCAAACTCAAAATCGCTAGATATGAGCTATGACTCATGATTCTTTCCAGTATCACAAAAATAATTAAATGGTTAATAGCAAAATACATTGTATTTAGGGGGTGACATATATCACATATGTCACACGCATGGATCATATATTTGTTGTTGTTTTATTATTTACTAGAGCTCATTTCTTTGTTCTCCAAGGTTCTTTTTGAACTTTCCAGAGCTAAATCACTAAATGCTTCCAGGATTTATTTTCACCAGTATCTATAGCGTTCAGAAGAATCCAGGACGGAATCACATGTGCACATGAGAGCACTCAGTCCTCGAGGGATATCCTCAGCTGGCTTGCTGCTGTTGTCTCTTGGTCCAGTCCGCTTGTGTGAGTGTCTTCATGGAGAAGGCATGGATGGTCTTCAGTTCCTCTGCTAAACATGAATTCACTAACCTGCTTGGAGGTGTATTACAGCACAGTGAGAAAGTGAGAGAGCAAAGGGTACAGAGAAAGAGGGAGAGAGTGGTGTCAATTTAAACCATGTTTAATACACTTAAAGGTGAAATTCAAAGAAAATCCCAAATATGTCAACTAATGTATCACTAGAAACTGGTAAGCTAACAGATGGCCATCGTACAAGTTTTAGGTCAACTACATATTGGGTGATTTATAAAAATACAAATACAACCACCTGCATAGCAGCTGGGATATATGAGAGATTCGCCTGAAAAATAACGATGTTTGAATGACATCACTATATGAACCATTACTGCCCAAGCAGACGACATCCCATGAAGAATGAACATAATTGCAAAGCTTTTATTTGTCAAATTATAATGAGTTTAGTGTATATAAATGTGACATACCGCGGTGTGTGCAGCTGAATATTCAATGGCGTCTTATTTTGTTTACAAGCGACAGATTCCTTTATTTTTGTATCGCTGCATTTTTCATCAAAATAAAACCATGTGCGGGGTTTAGAGTGAGGCAATAGCCTGACGGTAGTGAAGTAAGAGAAAGAACTCAAGAGAAGATGAAAACCCAGGCACTGAAAATGTGTGAGATGTCATGGGACATCGTCTGCTTGTGCACATTGTGTCCATACTGTGATCTCACACATCTCAGCAGCGTTCGGACTTCGGAGAGCTCTTCAGAGAGCTCTACAAGTATTCTGTCTGGAGCTCATTATTTTGATGTTCTTCTCTATGCTCTACTATAGTTATCTATCGACATGAGTATAGCCTATAAGGACAATTCAAATCTATTCCAACTTTTTCATCTGGATTTTGGGGGAAATGAGGAGAACAAGCTCAGGTTCTATTTTATTATTATGTTTGTTTGTTCTTTTTTCCTGCATGTACATGATATGGGGTCAATTTCAACACAAGCCGCGTAAATAAAAATAATTTGTTCATGCACTCTGTAGAGACTGGTAAGAAGCCGATACTGCATGATATATCAATGATTTCTGCATAATGGGGGCCTATTTAGATTTCCTCTGATTCTACTTTATTTAAATCCAATAGAATAACAATAAGGAGGGGAAGTGGAAAAAACCTGAAGGGGACGGGAAACTACGAATTGATTTGACTTGGTCTTGGCCATCATTGCATCAGATGCCATCCACTCACCCCTATAATGCATTTAATATTTTAGAGGGCGCTATATACCTCACCTGTGTCTTTAATTGCAGCAGAAACTTTCTATAGATTTTAGAGACAAACTAGGAATCCATTTTAATTTGGCTTTAGAAATTATTTAACCAGATGTCATCTATTCAGTTCAGTTCAGTTCAGTTCAGTTCATTTATTTCAATCATAAAACCATAACATAATATATATACAAAAGTAACATGAAACAATCATAATCTTATAATATTGGAATTAAGAAATTGGAGACTAAAAAGGAAGTTTGAAAAACTTGTAAGTAAAATAGTCCCCTGACATAAATAATAAATAACGAGATTACATGGTTGTATACGTTACGACAATAATAACAATATATAAATAATATACTACACATTATAGATACACACACACACACACACACACACGCACACACATGCATGGTACATTGCAAGAAAAAGAAAGAGTTAAGGGAAATAAGAAGAGACCAACTGTCTCTTCAATAGAACTTTAAAGGATGATATAGTTGTGCATAATGTTAGCTTATCAGTTAAATCATTCCAAATCCGGGGACCATTATGTCTAAAAGAGTAAAGCATTAACTGGGTAGAGACCTTTGGATAATGATATTTGATACAGGAACGAGTATTATACGAATGAACAGATTTATTAAGGATAAACATTTGACAAACTCTTTTAGGTACATAATTATTATAAACATTATACATCATAATAGCACTTTGAATTTTATGTATATCATAAATATTGAGTGTTCTTAAGCGAAAAAACAGGGGACGTGAATGAGCTTGATAATGGGAGTTTGTACAAATTCTTAAAGCTTTCTTTTGAAGTTTATGGAGAGGTTCTAGTTTAGTTGTTCCCACACCGGCCCAGGTGATATTACAGTAATGTAAGTAAGGCAAAATTAAACAATTATACAACATAAACAATACTTTTTCAGGCAGAAATACACGTAATTTACAAAGAACACCAATGTTTTTAGATATTTTGTTAGTTATATACAATCGATGATCCTGAAAAGATAAAGTATCATCCAAAAGGATACCAAGAAATTTAACAGAAGAGGACACGTTTAAATTTATATTGTTTATAAATATTTGTACATCATTAATATTGCAAGGATTAGTTTTATTATGAAAATAAAGTACACTTGTTTTGTCATAATTTATAATCAATTCATTAGCATTAAACCATTCAACAACCTTTTCTAATTCTTTATTTACTTCTGACATTAATTTATCAAAATCATTATGAGATGCAATCAGGTTTGTGTCGTCAGCAAATAAGACAAAATGAAAAAAAGATGAAGCAGAACTAAGGTCATTTATGTAAATTAAAAATAGGAGAGGACCCAGCATGGAGCCCTGTGGGACTCCATACTGGATCCTCTCTCTGTCAGAAATAAAGCTGTTGTATGATGTGAATTGAATACGATCACTTAAATAGTCCCTGAACCATTCCCAGGCAATACTGCGTATACCAAAATGTTTTAATTTAGTGAGGAGAATATCATGGTTAATAACATCGAAAGCTTTCGACAAATCAAGAAAGAAGCCTAATGTATGCAATTTATTATCTAATTTATTGAGTATGTAATCATGAAGGTCAATTAGAGCATGTCCACATGATGAGTTTTTTCTAAAACCATATTGAGAAACAGTCAGAAGATTATTTTTATTAATATGATTAAAGAGCCTATTATAAATTAATTTCTCCAGTATATTAGAAAAACAGGGGAGTAATGTTATTGGTCGATAGTTAGAGAATATGTGGGGATCACCTTTTTTAAATATGGGTATGATTTTTCCTACTTTAAAATTCTTGGGAACTTTTCCTGACAAGAAGGAAAGATTACATATAAAAACAATAGGTTTGACAATGAAATGTATAACATGTTTTATAATGAACTGACTTATTCCTTCAAAATCTGTGCTCTTGGTTGAATTGAGCAATTTGACAATATTCAAAACTTCTGTTACATTGGTAGGATGAAAAAATATTGATTTGCTACAAGGATCTCGTAACAATGAACTAAAATTGCATTTCGGTTTCTGAATATGTTGAGATTTTAGTTTTGTAGCAATACTAGAAAAATAAGAATTAAATTCATTTACAATCAATTGACGATCAGTTAACTTGTCCTTATCTTTAAGAAAATAATTAGGAAATTGGCATTTTCTTCTCTTTCCTAATAAATCATTAATAACTTCCCAAGTTTTAGACATATTATTCCTATTCTTCTGTAATAAATCACAAAAATATTTTTTTCTTACAGACTGTAGGATTGAGTTTAATTTATTTCTAAATTTTTTATATTTACATTCTTTGCTGTCGTTTCTTTTCTTACAAAATGTTTTATATAATCTATACTTTTTATTAATCTTTTTTAACAGTGAAGGGGTTATCCAAGGTTTTCGTGGCAGTTTTCTTTTCTTCACTTTACGAACAACAAAGTTATGATCATACACAGTTTTAAATATGTTTAAAAATGAATTATAGGCCTCATCTACATCACAAGAAAAAAATACTTCATTCCATTCTAAAACAGATAAATCTCTCTGAAATGAACTTAAACTTAAAGGATCCGTTTTCCTTATGTGGAAAAATGACGATGGTCTATGACAAGGACTAATAGAGAGGTTGGTTATTTGGAAAATAGGTAGATGGTCCGTTATATCACTATAGAAAATACCAGAGTGAATGTCTTTAGTGACTACATTTGTCAAGATATTATCGATCAAAGTGACAGACTTCTTACAAATTCTTGTAGGTTTGTCAATTAATGGGCGAAATGAGTTGTTATACATAATATTTACAAAATCATCAATGCATTGAAGCGAATTATATTTAAGTAGATCAATGTTATAATCTCCCATTATATATACTGATTTATTTTCTAAAGATATTTTTTCAAGACAAGCATTCATATTCTCATTGAAATCACAAATGGGTTTATTAAGGTCTCTGTAAATTATACCAACAATTATGTTTTTACAATTATCCAATATGATTTCAATAAAAAGATATACACAGAGGCCGGTATTCTGAAGTCGTGTCTAACTCCTGTTTAACTAAACAGTTGTCTAAGTCTTGTCTAAGTCCCGTCTAACTTTAGACACGAAGTCGTGTCTAACTTTTTTGGTATTCTGAAGTCGTGTTTAAATAAAGTTAAACACGAAGTCCTGTCTAAGTCCTGTTTAACTTTAGACAACTGCGAGGGGTTGTTTAAGTCCTGTTTAAGGGCGCGATTCTGCTGCTTTTCAACGTCGACGGTACACTGTACTTGCTGACCCCGAACTTGCGGGGGAGAACGATGGTACGTGCATTCTCCAAAATTTTAAATACGTTTTGCAGGATTTTTTCTCGTGTAGCCTAATTTTTTTTCTCGATAATATTAACTATTCTTATCTACTGGTGACATCTTGGAAATTCCATAATCTATAATAAACTAACCATTCTGTTGGAGAAGTCTCTTTTGTGGTTCTTCCGAGCACTGAGGCACCGATGAGTAGTGTGTTTGTCAATCTCAGTGTACAGTACGTGTACTACGTACGTACGTACACAAAGTACATGCAGTCTAGTCATTACGTCACGATCACATCACCATGGTACCAGCACGCGCACAGCTAGCTGTGCGCGTTAATTTATTTATCCGGTGCGCGCACGCATGCGCATTGGGTCTTTCGTCAGAATTAACGCCTACTGGGCATGCCCAGAAGTCGTGACTAAGAGTTAAACACGACTTGCGCAGAACTTAAACAGTTGTTTAGTTAAACACCACTTAGACAGGACTTAAACAGTTGTTTAGTTAGACGAGACTTAGACACGACTTCAGAATACGAAATTTAGTTAAACAGGACTTAGACACGACCTCGCGTCTAAGTCCTATCTAAGTCGTGTCTAACTAAACAGTTGTTTAACTTTAGACGTGGCTAAGTTAGACACGACTTCAGAATACGGGCCAGAGAGTTTCAGGTAAATAAATATCATCTCGAAATTTAGCATCAAATAATTCATTAACCAGGAGTGCAACCCCTCCACCTCTCCTACCTCGTCTGTCATTATGATAAAATGTGTAACCATCCCTATTAAATAATAACATTGTGTTATCGTGAATCCAGGTTTCACTAAAACCATATATAGAAAATTTTAAGTTAAGTTGACTAATAAACTGATCACTAGCGTCAAAATTTTTATTCAAACTTCTAGAATTAAAGTGGAGAATGCTAAATTTTTGTTTATAGTTATTAATTAAATCTTGGTTCACATTAAAATCAACAGGTAGCCAGTACTTAATGGGATTATTAGATGTGAAAAAATTATCATCTGGATCAATATCATTAAGCGACCCATTTTCATCTGTATCAAGCCTTGTCGAAAACATATCAAAGTTCATATCATTATTAGTAATATCATATTGCACTTCAGAAAACATACATTTAAACTCTATATCATTTACTTGATTGAAAGGAAATACATGCTGAGATATATCCATACAGTTTCAATAGCACACAATCACACTTCATGCACACATTCACGCATACCAAGATAAGATATACAAATTACAAAATAGCAGATATAGCAAGTTAACACAAAAATATAATGAAAAAAGAAATACAATTAACTCAAAGTGAGAGGAATAGGTCATTAACCTAGGATGTAATTCAAAATAGAAAAAAATTAGACTTACATAAAATTTTGGAAAATATTGATGACATGTCTTTTTTTCAAGATATCAAATAGGTAACTTCAAGAAAGACTTGTAATTTAACTTCATGCAGGTAGAATAAAATGTTCTTCATCATTTCATCAGTTTTCATATGTTTTCAATGTCTTTCACGGAAAAAATCCGCTTCTTCATTGTTTTATTGTCCCCAGTTTTGATGGATACAAGTATGCGTCCATCCATTGACCATGCCGACTCTATCTTGCTTTCAGGTTTCCAGCTAGCTTTTTGGGCCTCCCACAGAATAGATCTGTTTGCAGCTGTTAGGTCTTCGAAGATGCTGTACCCAGTTTTGTTTACTTTGAGTTTTTTCTTGTTTTGCAGCAACAGTTTCCGAAGTCTGTAGGAAGTGAGTTTAACGATGATAGCACGCGGTTTACGTGCCGATCCTCCTGTCGGTTCTACCCGTCGACGCACTCTATGACTCCTGTCAATGTCATCCTCTCTGATATTTACTCCAAGATGATTCCTAGCAATATCGCAGACCAACTCGTCTGTGTTTTCCTTTTCTTGCTCTGGCACCCCAAACAGGCGTACGCAATTTCTTCGAGAATATTGTTCTTGCGCATTTAACTGATGTTGTAACTTCACATTTTTATCCTCACATGTCTGCCGCTGCTTCTGTAGGTGCTTTAAATCATGTTCAATGATTTCCATTTTGCTTTGGAGATCCAAGATGATACCATCCTGTTTGTCAAGCCTGACAATTAGATTTTGGAATTTGACATCTAGAGCTTGACAAATCGTTCTTTTGATTGTTGATAAAACCTCATCATCCATCAATACCTCCTTAACTTGGCTCTTTAGTATACTGTCAGAGCGTGTTTCAGGCATTGTGCTTGAAGGCGGTTCCAAGTAGCAGTCCAAGGTGAATGATCAAAAGGTACCAAAATCTAATCCAAGATGAATGGAGTTATTTCACAAAGGCACCATAGAATTAGTAAAGTAACCACTCAATTCAATGATGACCAAGGGTCGATGACCAAGGGTCCAAGTCAGCTTTGGCTTGAACGAAGATCAAGTCTACTCCAAAACGTATAGATGGGGCTAGGTTGAAAAATCACTCACAGAAGCAGGTATCAGATCCAACAAATAAATGACACAAGATTTGCTTACATGCCACCAAATTACATCCAGGTCATGATCAAGTAGACTAAAAAACTCCTATACTTCACAAGACATCTCACCTCTAATAGAAAAACATCAAATTCTGGTAAAAACAAGCAAAAGTTCACAAGTTCACAGAGTTGCTCGCTTTTGCATGTGTATGATGACCGATTATGCATTCCATCTTTGAGAGGGCGCTATTTACAAATCTCGCCTCAAAGCACATTGAGAGAGATAAATGTAACATTGGCATGCTCAAAGGTCAATTCATAAAGCTCCAAATAATTTCCTCCTAAATACAATTTCAATGGGAGGGAACTACTTCGGTGCTCCATGAATTTGAATTCTTCATTAGGGCAACTTTACTATGTCTCACCTGTGTCTCTGTAGCAGAGGCTTTCCTTCAAATTTCTCTGAGACAATGACTGTGGAGAACTTCTGGCCACAACCTCCAGTAGTTTCATCTATTACTTCCTGAAAGGAAACAGATAGATTCATGAGCCTTGCAATCAAATGTATCCCAAAATCACTAAGGCACACCACAGCAGACCATCAACTAGCAATTGATAGCTTTAGACCTATATTATTTCAGATTTTTTTCAGTTCATGGCATTATTGTTGTAATTTTTATTAATGGCAAATTGGTGTTAATTAATTCATCAATTTCAATACTGATCCTGATATCAATAATAAAAGTAGTCAAATCTTTGTAATCCTTTTGAAGTGGACAATGGGAATAAAACGGAATGATTAAATTAATGTTTCACCTGTTGCAAGCAACATATTTCGATATATAGATCTAGTCTAAACATCTAGATATGAATGGGCGTGGGTAATTTAGGATCTAAATGAGCAAGCTATCGTAATAACAATTAATACGATGTGGCTGATCTGCAAGTTTGACAGTAGACTCACGATTTGAATTTGTAACAAAAAAAAAAATTATTTATTTTTAACATCGGTAAGTTAAAAAAATATTTAGGTAGGCTAGACTACAGTCATAAATTGTCACTAACTAAAGTACCGATTTTTTGTGTGTTGAGAGACAATAGAACAGTTTTTTATAATACACAGCTATGTGTGCACTAGACCGAATTTTCCGTCTCTTTCGTTCGTTAAGCCTCTTATTTGGGTGGGGTCGGCTCTCTAAAGACTTCTACGTCTACGTCTATGCTGGTACTCGTCAAAAGCCTTTTCAGCAACTAAACGAGGATATTGTGGTGTGGTGTCTCTCATAGAGGCTTAACGAACGAACAAAAGAGACGGAAAATTCGGTCTACGTGCGCACGTGTGCGAGTTAGGTAAAAACGTATCATATCTAACTAACACATAAGTCAGCATCTGGGACTACAGTACACTCTTCTCGAGTCAATCGCACTTCTAAACTGGCCTTACAAAATAAAATACGATTTCATTTCTTTCCGAATCAGTTCATCTCTTACCACATGAGACGCCTGAAATTCATCACGAAGCTTCTTTTCCAAAATTTCGGCGGTGATCTCCATCTGGAAATGTGTGTTGGATCATGAAATTAGAAAAATAAACAATCGAAATCGGTAGACTCGTTTCGATCCGCTTCGATTTATCGAAAGAATTAAAAATAAATCAAATAAAACAATAAATTCAAAACAGAAATTAAAATAAAACATAACAAGAAGTAAGGTGCTTAAATATGGTATTTTTTTGTATCTCATCTCATGTTTATCATGGTGATATTTTTTTTTACCCGTGATAAAATGGGTTTAAAAAAAAAAAAAATCATTTCTATCTTTCTTCTGTCTTTAAATTTTAAAGTCATTTGAACGTTGAAACTCGAACAATGGCTGCTACTATGGCGATTAGATTAACGTCCAGCTAAATGAACGGCAAACATGAGGGGGCTGCACCTTCCAGGGGCAGTAACGTAATTAAAAAAAACGTTCGGAAGGGGGGGGGGGGCGCAGACGAGTATTAACGATCAGGTAGAGCGTAAATTGGCGTGGGGTCCAGGACATGAGCCTCGGTAGGGGGTCGAGGGGCTAAGCCCCCGGTAGCTCAGCTTTGTTTTTCGCATTTACTTACGGTTAGAGGGGCATCCAGGGGCCCTCTTTAAGGCCATTGACGTATTCCAGGGAGGGGAGAGCCCCGAGAAGCTCGGAGTTTTTAATATTTAACTACGGTCGGATCAGCATCCAGGGGCAGCCTTAGGGCCCTCGGTGGGGTCCAGGGGGCAGAGCCCCGGAAGCTCAGGGGTCTTAGGTATTTAATTATATGGTCAGATGAGCATCCAGGGGCCTGCCTTAGGAACCTTGGTGGGGTCCAGGGGGCAGAGCCCCCGGATGCTCAGGGGTTTTAGGTATTTAATAAGGGTCAGATGCAGTATTCAGGGGCCCGCCTTAGGGCCCTTGGTGGGGTCCTTGGTGGGGTCCAGGGGGCAGAGCCCCGGAAGCTCAGGGGTTTTAGGTATTTAATTACGGTCAGATGAGCATCCAGGGGCCCGCCTTAGGGACCTTGGTGGGGTCCAGGCGGCAGAGCCCCTGGATGCTCAGGGTTTTAGGCATTTAATAATTAGGGTCAGATGAGTATTCAGGGGCCCGCCTTAGGGCCCGCCTTAGGGCCCTTGGTGGGGTCCAGGGGGGCAAAAGCCCCGGAAGCTCAAGGGTTTGAGGTATTAAATTACGGTCAGATGAGCATTTTTTATACCTTATTTGTGACATTGGCAGGTCACTTATTTTTTTTCTCCGTCTTTATTTCTTTTTCTCTTTATCATACTTTTTCAAAAAGTGAGGGGGGGGGGGGCCTTTCTTTCTTTTTCTCTTTATCATACTTTTTCAAAAAGTGAGGGGGGGGGCCTTGAGACCAGCCACTCTGAAGACCATGACATTAAGGCTTCTAAATAAGCGTATTTTTGGCCCGACTGTAATTAATTTGGGAATTTCTTATTTTCCAAGAAACGCATAAAAAAGGGTACGACTTACCTAAAAATGGAGAAAAAATACCGGAAAATCATGTCATAACAGCAACATTTGTAAATCACTGGTATCGAATAAGAAATACACCCCCCCCCATCAGTATGCCAGCGTTCAGGGGCTCATGTCTTCTCACCCCTATAACAAAAAAAAACAGACACGCTTTCCCATTCTCGCACAATATGTCCACGATATGCGCGTATCGCTATTATAAAGACCTCCATTGATAAATACCGTATAGGTGGCATGCACAATGTTTATGAAATTTAATTCCTGTGAACTTTCCTTTTCTTTGAATGGAATTGTATATGTGATTTAATTCAACTGCCCCCCCCCCCCTGCCCCCCACTTCCGGCGCCTATGATCAAAGGGAGTACCCATTTACACCTGGGTATAGAGAAGTGTGGCAAAATACCATGTCCAAGATGTAAGAAAGATGGAACTCAAAACCAAAGTGCTCACACATAATATACGTTACATACATCTGAAATTAATATGCAAGCTTATTACATTCCGGCTAAATACACGTTCCAACCAATCACACATAATATTTGACAAAAAATTGTAAAAATAAACGTATAAAAGCCAAATGAGTCATATTCCAGATTGAATATATATATATAGATATATTTTAATAACAGCTTCTTTTTTTTAAGAGGAATTAAGGAAAGAGATAAACATAGTTCAAACAGAATCCGTTTGATGTAGTGAATAGGATTGCCATTGCTCTATGAGCCCCAAATAATGGATTAAACAATAATCATTAATATGAAAAATTACAATCAAGTTAGATTTAGCTATATACCCGGTAATTGAAATCATGTCAGTAAAGTAAGGAATTTTACCAGAATATCAATTGTTTAATGAAGATCAAAATATAAATGACGAGAAAATGAAAAAGTTACGGTAATCATGTGACAGATATAAATGATAGTGATCTCAAACAAAATAAAATTCATAATTGTAAAATAAATCTAAAGTAATATGGTTTAATCATTATTGCTACAGAAAAAGATATTTATATATATTGGCACATGTTTGCTTCGAATGATTCACAAAGACAATTTAGTTGAGATTGAGCAGTTTGATGGACTTCTTGAAATGTCTGAAACATCAAAACTGGGCAAAAAGATTGAGCCATAACTAGATATGCCCATCTTAGAATGAAGGATTTAAACAGTAATATCAAGCTCTGGTAATTAATGAAAACAGTTCAAGATTGCAAATAAATAGTAAATACCAAATTATTTAGGAAGAAAAAGTGTGATATAAAAATAGCAGAGTATATCTAGGAAACTAGGCAAGCCAATGCCCCAAACACAAGCAAAACACATGTCATCTATGTGTGGAGCTAGAAAGGTATTAACTCTGCATAAAACAGTGAGTTGATGCCCTTCTGGTTCCAAACATACAATATGCACATGTGAGTTGTGTTTTCCAGTGAATTTGATTTCCATACATTTGTTGTATGTGTATTATTTTATTAGCTTAAACAATCTCTCTCTTGCACTTTTATCCATTTTGTAAAGTTAATATTCCATTATCAGAATAAATTCACAGAAAGAACTTGTAAAAGGCAATATTTGTTTTCTTCATACACAACACTGTTGTTCGTCCTAAATAACCAATTTCTTACTCTACAGTTGTTGCAACAGTTGTATTAATGCATTTCCTGCTCTCTAGCACAAATGCCTAATAGTTCATGAGATCTGTGGATGACAAGTTTGACATGTCTCTATGACATTTATTTGGTAATCTCCAGTGCCATCAAGGTAGTAGAGAGAATTATCAGCTCAGTGTCCTAATTACATGGCTCTACCTCAATACAATAAGAAAAGAATTTTCAACAATTATTAATTTTGTGTTCCGGATGCTTCTTTTGGAAACCACTTCATTATCGCTAAGCTACCACATAAACTTTTTGAACAATGCTGGATATCTTCACAGCTTTATACAAAGCATATTAGCTCATTTTCAAAAGAAAAGTTTGTCATGTTTACAGAACATGTTACACAGAAGGACTCAAAATAATTTTAGAATAAGGCACTAATTTCATAACGATTACCAACAAACGACTTGAAATGTTTAGAATCCATGTTCATATGGACACTAATGTAAAGAGTAAATAGCAAACAAATACATAATCACAGAATTGGGTACCAAACCCTTTCCACCACCTAGGTCTCAATACAAATCTAATATGTTGCTCATATTGACATATTACTGGAAATAATATAATGGAACATAACATGTCAATATACCATCCTCACTATTTAACAGAACCAAATAGGCCTAACCCTCCTTGTAGACTATTTGCAAATGCTTTCTTGCCCAAAAGGAGCAGATTTAGAGGCACTCTCTAGTTTTTAAAACTCAACCAACAGAAGTTGTGATATTTTCATGACATACATGTACTTGTAGTATTTAATATGCCCACTATTGAAAGCAAAACTAAATGTTCATCTAGAATAATATTGTCCAGTAACATTAAACTTTGAAAATATATCCAGGATAAACTTTTTGTTGTTGCCTTGAAAGCAATGTAATTGTCTTCCGATGGTTCATGTTGAAGATCTATATAAAGCTCTTCCTAATATAAGAAAAGACAAGGTTGTGATATTCAATTTTTTTTTACAATTTGGTAATTTGATACATTCCATAACAGAATATGTGTTTACTCCTAATATATTCTCAAAGCTCTGAAAAATTGAATGAATACTGCACTCTGACCTCTGTTTCTAAACTCCTCTTATGCATTTCAATCTAAAATGTACTGATTAATAATATCAATAATACCAAAGCATTCACACAAATTATACTTATTCATCATCTAAAGGTATTTTTAAAATCCTATTATTAATCAGAATTTGTATTTGTTGCACCCACTTGAGAAATTCGATAGCAACGAGTCATATCTAGAATATTTTATATATAGTTACATATTTACATTCACTTAGTCTTTCATGAATTATATTCAACATAATTTGAGAATTGACATTGAAGAAAGATAAAGATGCATGAGAAAGTATATATTACATCCAATTTCAAAAGATCTATTTACTACATTTATACAAGACCTTTTATACCACATACAGTTTAAATCACACGTTATCTACAGTATATGAATAATTAAAATTTACCCAGAATGATTGAATAAATATTTTTTCAAATGAATGACTTTATCAATAATGTGGTACTCAATCAAGCACTTTCTCAAAGTATAGATTTCTTGCCACAAAAAAAAACAAGGCTCTTTATAGTTTGACTACATAAAGTAGTTAATATATAAGCAGTGGTTTCTACTTGAAAGTAACTCATGGACATATTTTTCTGTTTTGACCATTTAATAACAGCACAAAGAACACACTGTAAAAACAGATATTTGCGCAATATGAAACTCTCACGCTTGGTTAAAGGCGGCAAGTTCGCAGTACGAAACTTTGTCAAATTACAAAAACCGAGTGTTGTGTCCATTGTGGTTCAATTAATGCCTATGCAGCATGAAACTTGCAGGACTCTCTGCACCTCTCACAAAATAAAATAATTTATTAACGTGAGAGTTCCTGACTTTGCCTTCTCTCTTCTAGTTGTTCTGTATGACTTATGACATCTATTAATGCAATGAGCCTAAAGAAAATCACAAGAGTTTAAAAGTGGAATGTACAGGCTTGAACACATGACAAGTAGACAACATAGTTTGCAATGTAAAGATCTGACTCCTGCATACATGTGCAGACCTCTTTGAACACTCATGCACCAGTATCATCTGTTTAGAGACAGAAGGGCATTAAAGGAAACCTTAACCTATTGAAGAAATGCAGGTATTCCTGCCTATCAATGCACAATATTCCTTACGAAAATGTACAAAAGGTATATACCTGCAGATATTCTTGACATGAGGTTATGCTTTTTGGCATGACATGGACGAAGCCATTTTCTTGATAATGTGACGTACCAGGTGAACTAGCACACATAAAATGCACCAAGCTTCAGGTGGAAAGACTTTTTAATTAAATAACAAAACCTTTGCTTTTCAATGAGGGAGAATCATCACTCCGCATGGTACGTCCTGTTATCAAGAAAAGGGGGGTGCCCATGTCATGCTGAAAAACTGTACACTGTGCTATGATTAAGAATATCTGGCTGCATACACTTTCATGGGCAATGTTGTAGATTAAAGGGCAAGAAAACAATAAATCTCTTAAAATAATTTAATTTGTTCCTCGGGGTGAGATTTCCACTTTAACCTGTATACATGTACATGAACACAGAGAGCACGCCCTTCTGGCCGTGAACAGACGATATCTGTCAATGATAGCATCACCCTCTTAACAAACCACTACCAGTATTATCTCCAAACTCTCTAGAGGAACACAATTAAGACACATGCAATACTCTTAATTTATTTTAAGACATTTTTTAAGTGTTCTACTGCTATTCTCTCCAAAATGAACAGCTTTTCTTCTTCAACTTTGCAAGTAAAATATTTCTTTCATTGAAGCTTTTTTTTAAATTAAATTATGATGGAAAGTTTAATAATTACACATTTCTATGCAGGTCACAACAGTCGATCTGGATTTTGTGCCATGTGTTGCCAATTAAATGAATTCCCCTTATAATTTTCCTCTTTAAATTTCCTAGTAACATATAGTTGCATGCCACTACCTCAATTACAACATTTTAAATGTGTTGCAACAAACTCTAAACATTCTAAAACGTTGCTATACATGTAGTAGGACAGTATGGGAAGCCAGTGATACATATCAAGACTAAAGATACCAGCTCACATTGTAAACCAGTCAGAAAGTAGTTTTCCAATAACCTTGTAATTTAACGAAACTTAAATGTTAAGCATTCAAAAATGGACACCATGGAGACTTTAGACTGAATATTTTGTGCTCCTGGGTCACACAAATTCCAGCTGCAAATAAATATGTGGTACCTGTTTTAATCCAATGAAGTAAAAAAAAAAAAAATCAAAATCAAATTTTCCTACATTTTACAAGACGTCAAGCAGAAATTATTGAATTTCGAATGATCTGACAACATCACCGACTTATAACCTCATCATCAAGAAACAAAACAAATCAAAAATATATAATCTATACAGTGCGTTCCAGAAAAAAACAAAACCTGAAAACAAACAATAATTGTGATAAAACTATGAGCTGTACAACAGTAATATGTTTTCAAATGAGCTATATGATAGCATTAATCTATACATGCTCCACTGAGTAACATTGTTTTAGAAATGGTAGGTCAAAATCGATTTGTGCCAGATTTTGGCGACACAGTGAACACAGCTCACATACGAACATGGCGTTAGGAAAATGTAAGCTTCAAAAGAAGATTATGCAAAACTTCCATTACATAATGTGCATTTAAATAGAGTTACTACAATAATACCCATTTCCAGGATGACAGGGGCGTAGAACATCAGAATTTCCCCAAGTCAACAAATATCCCTCGAGCAATAAAAAATTGTGCCTATACCGACTGAAAATCGTTCCCATCCTGAAAGGAAAATATTTTGATGGTTTATTTTCTGCATCATGTGCCCATTGGACCATACCTTTCCTCATTATCAAAATATAAGGTCCCCTTTACCTTGAATTTTACGGAAATATCACCCAAACATCTGCTTAATATTGCAGTTCTGGAAAAATGCTAAACCCTTGTTGATAAGAATTGCACAACCATTTAAGTACAAAATATGCCTTTTTTAATCCCCACTATCGACAATGTTTCCCTCGTTCACAAAAGAAGCACATAAACACAATATTCTCATTCGGTGTATGATACGACTGTTTTTCAATCATGTTCACTGTTTTATCCAAATATTTTGACATGCTATAATCAAACAATGTTGCTTAGTGAAGCGTTTATGGATTAAATTGGATAAATATGGATCAATGTATCATTTGAAAGCATATTACTTCTACTGTATGAAAAGCAAGGAATCATATTATTATACGGCTCATATTTTGTTCATAATATCTTGGGGTTTTTTTCCGGGACAAATTTGTAGATGGTAGTCATGTTACCTCCTCTCATAACAAGATCATAGATGATAATACGTTCTATGTACAGCCTGCACCAACCATATAGCATACACCTACGTTTCCTTCTATTGCAGTACATTCATAACATAGGAGAAATTTATTAGATTCTCTCATTTTTGCTTGCAACAAATGATATCAATGATATCTAATCTATGTCTAACACCTACTAGTCTTGAATACATTAATGTAGACCTTTAAACAAAACACGGTATAATAAAATAGCTATAGATTAAATACTTGCGACTCTGAAGGCTTCTTTGTACAGGAACCAGTTAAGTATGATGCAGTTAAGTATAAGAAATATACACGTTTGTAAATTGTGAATTTTGGTTAAAAAAACAAGCTACGGGCAAAGGCCCTTAGGCGTGCATGTACTCACTTATTTGTGTGTTGTACGATAAAGAAACAGAAAGCATATTTTGCTGCAGCAGTTTTGGAAAGAGGTTTACCGTTTTGCAAATGAGGCTTCAGTCCTGCAAGGTATAGTCCTGACATATAAGGAGCTTCTCATAAAACTTAGACCTAATTTATACTAATTTACAACAAAATATCTACAACTGCCTTTCCCCCCTAGTATGTTTAAGCTCTTGGTTATTAGAACCCCCTTCCCTGTTTGGAGTTCTGACAGATACACCTCAATATAAAATTACACAAGGACTCTCTGCCCCTTAGTAGAGCATCCGCCTCACAACCGGGAGGTCGTGGGTTCGAACCCCAGCCGCGTCATACCAAAAGACGTTAAAAGACGGGAGTTAATTGCTGCTACCTTGTTTGGCGTTCAACAATAAGGGATAGAGCAACTTCCTTCTGACGCTGCTCAGTGGCTGCTGGGCTCACAATCGATTGGGCAAAACAAATATCCATTTTCGGTTTAACTAAATAAAATTTGGAGTGGACTTTAAAAGATTATTATTATTTTTTTTTAATTATTATTATTAATTGGTATGTGTACATGTCAAAAGTACATCTCTGCACATCATAAAGTGATTCACCATTAAATAATGACAATACAGAGAGATGGGTTATTTTTATATTTAACTCTAATACTGTGGAGTATATATTCAGATCAGTATTAAGCCACTAGTTAACAATGCCAAAACAATGTAATTCTGTACACCATTTTTGCCCAAGAGGGAGTGCTTGCCCCACAAAATCACATGAGGGCTTTACGGACCTCCCCAATACACCAGTTTACGGTTGTATCAGTGCGCATGCGCAGACAGTTGACCTCGGGTCATTGGCCCTGAAACAAAGCCAATGACCCAAGGTCAGTGGTATTTATGCGTAAATTAAGATTGCGCCCATGCAAATGATGATGTGCGCGCAAAACGCAGCGCGTAGGCAGTGATGTCATCATAATTCGCATGGGCGCAACCTTAATTTACGCATAAGTACATGACCTCTAGGTCATTGGTTTTGTTTAAAATGGCGCACACAACCGTAAACTGGTGTATTTGCTCCGGACAGAAATTTCAAAAGCTTTCATTTTCCCACTTATTGTCACCTAAATGTCTGTTATATTGCGTGCAAGTGTCTACAATTACAGCGTGCACCAGCACTACATGTTTCGAACTGCAGTGTGTAGTACATACTAGCATCACAGCCTTTCCTTGAAGTCTATACATGTAGCTAGTCTATTGCACAGTTTTTTACCACCAGTATCATGTATGTATCATGGATGTAACTACGTCGTTGGCTGTTGATTGAAAAAAAATGTGCAAATATGTCTTTGACCTTGTCATTAAAAAAAACATCAGTATGCAAAATAGCAGCTTATCCAGTAGTCTATACATTCTAAATTTATGCATTCTAACTTAGTTGAATTCACCTTCAATGATGGGAGAGACACAAATTCTGCTGCCTGGAAGCTAGACTAACTTTAGTCCACACATACATGTAGCACATAGAGTGGTGAAGTGTGACGTCATCAAAAATCTAATTTTAAAGTTTCTCAATTTTTTCTTCATTTTCCGAAAGGGCATCAAAAATAATGTCCAAATGTCCAAAACCAATTGAATATGTTAAGTATTGGTTGAGATATGACCATCTGAATAAATATACTCCCCATAGGAACTCAGTGTTATATGCTCTGGCTCCTAATGGTTAGGAGCCAGTAGAGCCAATTCAATTGCTTTTGGACATTTGGACATTATTTTTGATGCTCTTTCGGAAAATGAAGAATAAAAAGGAGAAATTCTAAAAATAGATTTTTATGACGTCACAGCTTCGGTACTTTATGATGCTACAATATGCATCTACATCGATATCAATGCAAAGACAAATGCATGAGCTATGAGTCAGTGTTTCCATCCTAAAGCCCCTTATATTAGGTTAAGACACTTTACAAGATGAAAATGACAGAGAAGCTTAAGTAGGAGTCAGTGGCATTCGGCATTTTGAGAAAATTCAGCAAGTGTTGACCAAACTGTCACAGGCTAACGCAGAAAAAGAGTACTTAGTCCAGTTCCTGGCGACTTTGTTCTGGATGCTCGAAGTCTTGACGGGTCCTAGTCCAGTGGTGGAGGGGCAGGCCCAGGATTCTATAGGTAATGAGAGAGACAGATAGACAAAAAGAGAGAGGACATAGACAAAGTTAAAGTCTTTATCTTCATCACCTTGAAGCAGCACTTACACTGGAATAAGAAGAAAATGCAAGCAGTTTTTTTGTCCACTACAGATGAATTTTGCCCATAGATAGTGAATCACCTTGCTCCCCACCCCCTCCCCCCCCCCCCCCCCAAAAAAAAAAACCCAACTAAAAATGAATTATTCCTGAGAGTTTGGAATTCTTTGCCACCCATAAATTTTTTAAATACTATCATTAACAGAATTATACCTTAAATTCAGTTCAAATAATACAGGCAAATATGAACAGACATATGATGACTTTTTAAAGGTAGTCTCTCCTTTTTGCAGGCTGAAAATATAAAATTATGTAAATCCTATGGTAAATAAAAGATTACACCAACTAAAAACTCATCTTGAAAGATTAGAACTGGTAATTGCCTCTATGTAGAATTATATCGACTGTTAGGAATTTTCAAAATGTGTTGCGAAAAATACGCCTAGAAGATTCTGATTTTCAGAACCTTGTACCGCATAGTCGTACGTTTTGTGCTGAGTAAAGTTTAATTTTGGTCATTACAAATTATAATGTACCCTTTACAGCTAATTTTATCTATGTTATTAACTAATTTTAAAAAGTCAGTCAGTCACTAAACAGTGTCTGACAGTGAAGGTAAACGGTTTCCCTTGTATAACTAGTACACTGCTTACCGTTAAACGTTTAAATTTTACAGATAGGACATGCGTGACATACTCAAGATTCCTGTAAAGTGCTACAGAATTTGTTGTTGGCTACAAAAGGGATACGCTACCTTTAAGCTTGTTTAAGGATCTCTAATTGACTATCTCACTGCAGAAACTCATCAAAAAATTTCAATTCATTAAATTATTGTTGTTGATAATTTGATTATTTTTCATTATGTCTTGTACATATCTAAGTACAAGTATTGTGTATTTACAGTAAGTACTTCATATCTAGTTTTATTTTTCTACATGTATGTATCATATTTTGCATTTAACATTTTCTTTCTTAGTTTATAGAATTTTAAAGGGTTTCTAGTTGCAGTGTCTCATTTGTGTCTCAAGTTTTAGTTTTCAATCAGGTTATTCCACATCACATGAATCTAATTTAAATCACTTCACAACTATATGTCTAGACAAGTAGACACGACTTCCTATTTGTTCCACCAATACTGGCGCTGCCAGATAACATTACCAACTTCAATGTGAAGAAAAAAATGAATGCCCTATAATCACAATACTTGCAGCTACTTCAGCAGTGATTGAGGAATAATAACCTATTGTGAGGGCTTCGTTATTAACAGCAGGTGGTCACAGCTCCCACTATATAGGTATGTATGTAATAACAGCATAGATATATTATATGGAAAATTACACACAAACAAAGTTGTCATGCTCATCATTTATTTACATTATTTTTCAAGTTCATTTTTATACTTTCATTAGAAATATACAAACATGCAAAAGTTACAAAATCATATCGATGTACTGTATAACATGAGAATTACACAAGCAGAAAAGACAAGAAGAACAAAGGGGGAAAATGTAACCGTGTTTATTAATGAAAGTATATGGAGACAAGGCAGGAAGGCCGGGCCTTATGTAAAAATCTGTCTCCAGCAAACGTATCAAAATAACTACGTACGTACAGTTAAATTATCAATTTTTGAATAGAAAGGGGAAACAAGTAAATAATCTACTTACACATTATGATTAAAGGTAAAAGAAAAGGACTGGTAGTGAAAATAACATTGGAAGGAAACTTCATTGTAACATCCTCATCTTACATCATGGATATTAAAATAACTGTTATAGTATGCTTATGCGTACGCTTATAACACAGAGCTCAGTGAATGCATGTAGAACCTTTGATGCATACAGTTGCCATTTATTTACATGTACACAAAAAGCCTGCCACGCTTTATCGCTTCATGCCTGAGCAATCCTTCAGTGACCACCTATATAAAATCAATGTATGTTTTGTTTTTGTTAACCTTTCAGCAGTGAATCTCATTAAAACCTGTATTAAAGACGACCTGTATACATGTGTATACATGTAAAGACCTCCTGTCTATTGTTGTTTTTCCAGAGTGGTCTACATACGCTGAGTTTTAATACCATATGAAGTTCATATTGCACAATAAGGCTGTAAAAAAAATTGCCCTTTGTGACTGACCCAGAAATCTATGGTCAGCTTTAAAAAAAATATATATATCAGCCCAAAGAGGGAAAAAGAAGGGGAAAGAAGGGGAAAAAAGGGGGGGGGGGGGAAGATTTCCGAACGACCAGCCTAAGTTCGGCACCTAAAGGGCAATACAACATCTCTTTTTTAGGCCTTATCCTCCTAGATGAAATGTATAGACTCGCCCCTTACTTGATTGATTGGCCTTGGTTTCTGGTCTCCTTCTGTCCTGTTACGTCCAGGCCTCAAAAGAAAGAGAGCTAAGGCAAGAACTAGCCAACCCATCATGAAGAGGAACATGGTGTAGTCACCACTGGAATTAGGTTGAGGACCAGGAACTGAGAGGAAAACAGAAAGCAATTTAGATGAGATCCAATATACAACAAGAACAGCATCAACAATATGAATTCCAAAAGAAAATGTGAATGAAGGTTTCTTTGTAGATCAGAGATATCAATTTTCTACTGCACAAATAGTCAATTTGTTTAAAGATCCATATTGTATGCCATACATGTATTGGTAGTTCGCCTTTCGAGATGATCTCTTTCTTTCTCTAAATGTTCTTTAGTTACTGCTTTAGATCAAGCTTTTTATCTTACCTTTAGTTCTACTAGGTCCATAGGCTCCAATAAAAATCAGAATACAGTCAAACATGTCTATAGTGACCAGGGAAAAAATTAATATCTATTCTTCGGGGGCTACTTTTCAACCTTGCCTGCATGAAAATAACATTCTAAAAAAAAATTTGGTTTTGAACTCTATGCAAATTTGAGGGGGCTCTTTTCTGATTTTCGGGGGCTCTTTTGGGCATTTGGGGGGCTAGTTCGCCCTGAGCCCCCGTGTATTTTTTTCACTAGTAGTGACCGCCTCGGGAAACATAAAAAGTGGTCTTTGTAGACAGGTTCCTTTAGAACATGTTTCAATGAGAAACCATTTTCAAGGAAAACCAAAAATGTGGTCTTTGTATGCAGGTGGTCACTAAAGCAGGTTTGAGTGTATACAAAAAAATATATATCCTACCCCAAGTATGTAAAGTGAAAAACTTTCTAGTTATTTTAGAGGAATACATCCTAAGATATGCATACATGTCATGTACATGTACATGTAGTACAGATCATTACAAAATCAATAAGCTAACAAAACTATCATTCAAGTAAATGCAGCAAAATAAAAAGCAAAAGTTAGAATGAGCACAAATGATTGAATGTTCAAGAGGGCCGTTGGACTATTGATACAATAAACACTACATGTATATGCAACAGTGCAACTACATACTTTGCCATATTGTGTATATTTTGATACATTCCATGCCTCAAAGTAAACACAAAATGCAAAGGACCTTGGAATTTACAGAGGACATCATCAATCATTTTTTTCCTGATCTGAAATGGAAGAGTGGTATTCACCTAGTACCGGTATATAAGCATTATTTTTCAGAATGCCTATTGGTGAGTTGTATACAATGCATGTAATTAATTTCATCCACAAGGGTGGCTCTGGCAGTTTGCATGTACGTGTATATTCACTGTACAAGTTTTGTCTAAATGTATTGGTACACATGTTTGCAAATGTTGGGACATTGCTGCTCCGTTTATTAGAGTTTCTGGGTAAAACACCAATGGGAAGCAAATTTCTGTAATGGTATTATACATGGACAAAAAAACTTGAATAATGAAAACACATTTTGTCAAATACGACTATAAATCAAAACATGTAATCAAATAAAGTGCATATGTAACCGATGATCCTAATTAGAAGATAAGATGCCTAGAGCATTTAGTTAAAATGGATAATGGCGCTATATAAATCTCATGTATTATTATTATTATATTATTATTAAATTATTATTCCCAATATGTCCCTACGTGATGCATCTACATACATGTATGTATGGGCAGGTCTAAACTTTCCAATAACCCTACTGGTATTAATTATACCTAAATTATGTATAGCTTTGTAAGTCTTCTGCATGTTTCATGAATGTGTTAAAGGAATAGGTTATCAGGGTAGTAGTGCTTACGTCAATGAAAATGCTCATAAGAATTCACCATTGTAAAATGTAGTTCCATATTCATTGTAATAGTTACAATTACCATTAATTTTTCTTCTTCCCAATGGTTAATTTCATCACCGTAATTGTATGTACATGTTTGCAAAATGTGAGACAACTGATATAAGAGCAATAATATTATCATTACCATTACTAAAGCTATTAATAGAAGTAGAAGTAGTAATAGCAGTATAGTAGTAATAGTAGTAGTAGTAGTAGTAGTAGTAGTAATAGTAGTAGAAAGTAGTAGTAGTAGTAGTAGTAGTAGTAGTAGTAGTTGTTGTAGTAATAGTATCAATATTATGATTATTATTATATTTTTGTTTTATTATGATCATTATCATTATTATAAGTACTATTATTAGTATTAGTAGTTTTATTATTATTATTTTCATTATTATCACTATCATTTACATTATTATTATCATCATCTGTTATTATTACTATTATGATCCATCTATTCTGTACTTACATTCCAAGTCACACTGTGAGTCACTGCATGTATTCTGCTCCCTGAGCTGTCGTAACAAAAAAAAAGAAAATACAATAGCGATAAATTTACTAACAGCTGCTATTTAGACAGCAAAGTGTAAATAAAGTATTCAGCCCTTCATTTCATATGTCTGCATGTAGTCTGTACTCAACAGCAGTTATGTTGTTTTAAAGGGTACCAATCCCCTTCAACAAATTATTTGTGTACAGCTAGAATGTACCATTTTACTCAACCTCCAAGAACTTTACTTTCTAAAGCTACGGTAACAAATCCGTACGAACGATTATTTCGTACAAATCTCCGTTTTTCCATTGTCTTCCAGAATTTCCATCGTCTGAAAATCGTTCGTACGGCGTTCGTAGCAGTTCGTAATGGCATTTGTGACCGAGGCTTTAAGGAAACATATACATGTACAGTGTAAGAGGTATAAAGAAAAAAAATGAATATTAATATAAAAACCCTGACAGGCATGTATATCCTCTGTGAGCACATACAGGCACATCGACTGGTCTACACTTACTCACAAAGTCTTTTGTATGTTAATTAAGAGTGTATTTACCATAAAGTTGTGTTTAAATTTGCAAGATCTCTATATTGGAAGCTAACATTTGGAATAAATAGCATAACAATATTGAACCTCTAACATACTGAGCAAAAATACTTTTTGCAGTTTGTGGTGATAGGTACACTTAAATACATGTATACAGTATGTACATGTTCATGTTGTAGGTACACAATAGTCAAAATGCGAATTGCAACCATTAACTGTTGCTAGGTAGGACAAACATTATGGCTTGTCTTACCAAACAACATGGAACGTATCCAATTCGCATTCTGACTATTGAAATACAATTTTTCGTAAACAGGTGAATGACAAAATTTGTAATTATGAAAATGGCCTCATGGAAGGGATCAGAGCTTTGCATACATGTATGCACAATTGTACAAGTTCTATCATAAATAGGCTCTCTGATGAGTGGATTTCTGTGAATCCAATTAGCTAAAAGTAGCTCAACAGCCAACTACAATGGTGTGCTGACGAAGTGAATGTTTTATGCATGGCTATCTGCTCTTCCACGTCATATCATTATCATCCCATGTTATACTACATTCAACAGGTGATGGTACTGTAGAACGACCAATTAAAAGCAATAACAGTTTTAGGTGAGAGTGTCATGTCAACCATAAGAAAGAGTAAAGGGGTACATGTATGTTTCATGTTTTAAACAAATAAACAAACAACAACAATAAAGGTGACAAAAAATATTAATGATGATATTAAAATAATAATAATGATAATAGTTAAAATATTAATCATAATAATAAATTATAGTTATAATAATAACAATAACAATAGTACAAATTGCTAAAGAATATGGGGAGGGGGGCGGCTGAAGGGGGTGAGAATCTTTTGTCATCTTAGCAAACGTCTAACGATGCATCAATTACATACCGTGATAGAAAACTTGTAACAGTACTTTGTGATTTTACAGTACATGTACATACAGGCCAAAGGGCTACATACATGTACAAACACATACATGTATTTAAAAACTATTCATACCCTTACCAAGTTTGTGATGAATTGATTTATCCCAATTTATGTTTCTTGAGAATGTGACACATGAAAGCTTACATCTCACAGTATTTAACAAAGGCCCTACTTCAACTAGTCTACTTTTCATTCTTGAGTTACGAAAAACACAAAAGAGATTAAATTTACAAGGGATATGAATAATTCAGTTGTTAAATGTAAATGTATTCAATACAGAGTCTGAATTCAAAGACTGATCATCAACTGAGCCACATTCATCCACAGCTCACTAGGCCTATGGTTCTCATTCAAGGATATTACGTCACTCATAGTCCACCAATAGCATAGTGCCAAATATACCTCAATAAGCTGCTATGAGTATGATCACATTTATATTGCAGGGGAGAGATTCAGATTTAGAATGAGTCCCTACAGTATGTCTGCTTGGAGCCAGAATACGTTAACACAGTGATAATAATAATAATAATAGTGGCTACTTGTATAGCGCACAGGTCCACCTTTCGATGCTCATGAATGGCGCTTAGAGAAAAGGACATGTAACAGACATAAGAAAGAAAAAAACACAATAACCGAAATACAAAATTCGAAATTCTCCTAGACATGGTAAATTAAAATATTACAATATTTACAACGAAAGAAACAAATAAGTTTTCAGTTGTAATTTGAATGTTTCTGTTGACGACAGTTGGCATATTTTTAGAGGGAGCTTATTCCAGAGTTTTGGACCCATTGCAGAGAAAGCCTGATCGCCCCAAGCAAGTTTTATTCTGGGTGTATTAAGTAATAGCGTGTCTGATGAGGAACGAAGACTTCGTGTGGGGTTGTATTTTGAAACAGAGTTGCTCAGGTATGTAGGGGAAGAAAGAGAGTAAACTGAATGATGAACTAGTAACATAATCTATAATAATAATACGCTAAGGCTCCGCGGGGGGCGCGACGTCTCCGCCAGCCTTTGTATTCTATTGTTTTTTAATGAGATCGCCGACCCAAGTTGGTGCGGCTATCTCCTCCTGAACCCTCCCCTCGGGGTCCCGGTGCCCGGTGCCATCGTCCGGGGGAGAGTCTACTCTGTGGAATTGGCTATACTACGCCCGAGTTCCTCCTCCGTGTCGACGTCCAGGGCGAAAACAGACGCGATATGCATAATGCAGGATATGCGTGACGACAGAGACACCTCATGGATATTCAACATTACATCCGTAGACACACGACAGACGACGAGCAACTCACATTAAGTTGCGTATTAAATGCACGATGCACACGGTCGGGCTTACCCGAGTAAAGCATCTTTGTATAGGATATCCTTTGTAGTAGCTGCACAAGCCGCAGAGATACACACGAAGCTTCGATCCCGTCCACGTCCAAACTTAGAGACCTATTTCCATCATGATTGCCGCGATTTTGATATAGTTTTCGTGAATGGAGGTATGAAATCAAAGCTTATTTTGTGATTACTACGGCCATATAGTCTAGACCTATACTAAATTTTTATTATCATTTTCTAAAGGAAAGTTTTCACAAGAAAACCATTGGACTGACAGTTTAGTCGCAAGCTGCCTTCATACAGTGCAGGGCTTCTGTTCAGTGTGTGTGAGTTGAGACGAGCTTGCAGGAAGCTCCAACACCGGCACCGAGCACCGCAGGCGTCCGACGCCTGCGGCGCCGGTGTTCGAGCTATGGAGTTACGCTGTAGTGTGTGTGAGTTAAGCTGAGCTGAGCTCGAGTCGAAGAGATTTGACACTTTGAAATTGTTATCTGTTGGTTTGCATCATTATTGCCACGATTTCAATATAGTTTCGTGAATAGATTTACGAAACCTGAGCTTAGAATTAGTAAAAGTATTACTCATGTCTACGTTTTTAAACGACTTCCTGATTTTCTTGTGAAAATTTTACTTTGAAGAATGATTATCGAAATTCATGGTCAGAAATAATCACAATCTAGGGTATATTATGTTACAGTTCTTGCATCAAATCAATGCATGAAAACTTAGTTATTGAACTAGAATTTTTTTTTTTTTTTTTAAATAGGCAATTATGAAGTAGGTAGCCTGAAACCTGAGCCTTCTAAACAAATCTCAACAAAGTGAAGGCCTATATCCTTTGATGAATTAATGAAAAAGTAACCCCAGAAAAAAGAGCCCCCGAAAGTTGAAAAAAGTAGCCCACGAAAATTTTTCCAAAAATTTGAAATAGAGCCCCCGAAATGAAAATCTTAATTTTCTGCCTGCGCCCCCCTCTAGAATCCCGCGATTTCCGCGGGTCCTGAGTTGAGTGTATATATAATATAGGCGTGGGGTCCCCGGGTTTCAAGGGGCCATAAACCCCAAAAAGCTCAGGGGTTACGTTCTTCAAAGTTGGTGGGGGGGGGGGGAGAGATCAGATTGCAGCGAGTTGAGTGTATAGGCGTGGGGTCCACGGGTTTCAAGGGTCCATAAACCCCCGAAAGCTCAGGGGTTTTAGGCGTTTAATTAGGGTCAGATGAGCATATTTTTAATACTTTATTTGTGACACTTGCGGGTCACTAATTGGCGTGGGGTCAATACGTAGAGTTGCATAGTGTTGCGTACCAACTACGCTGGCCTACATTACTATATGCTGAGGGACGGAACTGGGTACGCAAGATGAACGAAAACAATTCAACATGTTTAATTTTTTTCGCGTACTTTCGGCGTAGAAACTTGACGTAGAAAGTACGCCTTTTTACATACGCAACACTACGCTACATGCCTACGCAACAGTATGCTACCCTACGCCAGATAGACAAAGCAGTAAAAGCTTTCCACACAGTAAGCAACCATAAGCAAACCTGTACGCCAGCCTACGCATAACCTACGCAGGGACTATTTTCTCATTAATACGTAGCCTAATTTCTGCGTAGTCGGTACGCCACACTACGGAACTCTACGCAGTTCCAGTGGCTTGAAGAATAACTACCGGTACAGTTGGATCGTTTTTTAAATTTTTATATAAGGCCAGATTTTAAAAAAAACATGTTTAGCGTCCTGTTTTTTTCGAAAAATGGGAATGAGGAGGCCCTTTTTTTTTTTCTTCTTTCAAAATGGCCGCTCGATACATTTTCCCTGACATTCGGGCTTTTTTTCAAGATGGCGGCCGACAATTGTTTTTTTTTCTTTTTTAATATCAGAAATAATTTTAGCAGTGCTTTTCATGTTTTTTTTCTTTCAAAAACTAAAAAAAAAAAAACTAAAAAAAAAAAAAAAAAAAAAAAAAAATTAGGAGGCGGCCCCCAAAAAGGAAACGGACAGGACACTGTTTTATTTTCTTTCAAAAAAAAAAAAAAAAAAAAAAAAAAAAAAATCAAAAAAATTTCAAAAAATAAATAAATAGGAGGCGGCCCCCAAAAAGGAAGCGGGCGGGGACGCTAAACATGTATATTTTATTTAATGGCCTGAATGGCAAATAAAGTTCTTGGTGGTTTTAATTTAAACACTCTCTATATATCTATTTACACCCCCCGCCCCCCTCTAGAATCCCGCGGATTTCCGCGGGTCCTGCTAGTTTTAAAAATAATCCTTTTGTCAACTGGCAACCAATGGAGAGAACGGAGAATTGGTGATATTGAATCAGATTTCTTAGTGAATGTTAGTAGGCGGGCTTCTGGCTCAAAACAGACGATACATGTACATGTATATGCCATGATTATTGCCGAACAAAAACAAAGATGTCTATATGGTATTCAAATCTTTGACAGTGTCCCATTATTAGGCAAGTAGAGCAGAGTTCAAATTATTATGTAACAATTACTGATATTGTCAACATATGCATCCACAGGGGTTTAACTACCCGGTAATGATTTTCACATTCATAAAAAGACTGGGTTTTATTGGTACACTTAATATGTTAGCCAAGTCAGTCCTCTTTATCAATCTTCCCTCTCAATTAGTGATTGCAGTCACATTTTAAAAGGATCGTTTGAAATTTTGAATAAATAAAATATATCAATAATAAAATAAGTTTTAAATATATGTGTACTTGTTTTGATATCATTTGCTTTGAAGGCCATTATTTTCCCACAAAAAGACATTTTCAAACCCTTTTGTTTTGAGGGAAGTTCTAGATTAGTTACTTATTATATTCTTTTTACTGTACTAACTCTCTAACATGCAAAAAAATCCAGAAAAAATTTCTTAAATCACAAAGATATTTATGGTTTTCTTTGAAGCTTCACTTTGCGACACCCTCTCACAAAAATTCTCCAACCATTTTTAATTTTCCCAACTTTTTCTCATGCAAATCAGACATAAGACAGGCTTTAAAAATATCTTTCAACACTTAAATTCTGTAATGGTATATAGAGCCAATTCTATTGCTTTGTGACAATTTACATTCGCCTAAAATTTAATTAAATTGTAATAATATAGTTGGGAGAATTAAGGAATCAATCAGATCAGTTTTCCCAATTTTTTTCATTAATAATGGTCTGTTTTCACTCAAACTTTCAGATTATCTTTAACTGTACATCTAGCAATGAAGACATGACCTTAGCACAATTTTCTCTCATCTGAACAATGTTATCAAGTCCCTTTAAAGCCCCACTGTCCTACTTGTAGCTACTTGCTCCCTCTATATAGAAAACTTCCCCAATCAGTGCCTGTTGGTCCCCCATGATCCTCTTTTTCTTATGTTAGTTGAGAGCTGAGTTAATGAGATAGCCACCTGTCAGTGACCTTGCTGTGTGGTATAATCCCGTCTGGCCCAGTAGTATTGACGGTCTTTAATAGAGAGTTTTTAAAGAATCTTGTGCTCAGCACTATTTCCTTTACACATAGCAGAAAATGATCCATTTCATTTCAATACTAAATGAGGGTGATTCTTGTACACTTTTGTTAAAAAGCAGGTTTCAGGACTATTGTCTCAACTCTCAAGTACCAAGTCTTTACGAACTTACCATGTTTATCAATCTCCTCATCGCATTTTCATGCGACCATATACACTCGCACGGGTCATACCCTCCTTCTGCCATCTTCCACTATTTCTGTAAAAAGATTTTTTTTAAAGACAAAAATGATGGTTGGTTACAAGATTTGAAAGAAGATGCAAGGAAAAGTACCCCCACACAACAATATTACATCTGTACTCCGGGAAAACTACCGCCCTCTCACCCACCCACCCCCCCCCCCCCCCCCCTCCCTCCCTTGATATTGATAAAAATGTAAAATGTTAATTTTCCCCCAAATACTTTGTACATGTACATGTACACTGTACATACTACAAGTATGCAAGAATATACTCTCAGGATCTTTTCCCAAAATTTCTTTGATTGTTCTAGAGCAGTGACTCTTACATGTACATGTACATGTACATTAGTCTCCAAAAGTCTGACATTTTCTATCAACTAGATAAACTTTATTTTAAAAGGCTAAAACCTACTTCAGTGTTTCAGGTGAATTTCCTATTTTACCGTCATTCCACATTATTGTGAAGTTGAATCAAGTAATAGACGATATCAAAATTCACAATAAAGCACACTCTGATCTTACCTAGATTTGTACTATTCGTGGAGTAATATTTTTCACCTCATTTAGCTTGTTCAAAATGTGAATATCTAAACAACCTATTCACAAGCTGGCAGTCTCTAGTCTTTCACCTCTAGCTAGCTTCCTATACATGTTGGTTATAATACGCACAACCAGCCGGCCCGTGTATTGTTATTATTAATTAATTAACGGTCAATATATTTTTTTTAAAGTAGAGCTGATTTGGGCATGATTGTATTTAATCTAAATTTCACACATTTTGGGGTCTAAAATTATTAAAAGGGCACTAGAAATGTCATACAAAAGAATAAGAGCAATAACCAGGCATTTGTGGTCATAAACAAGAACTTAACTATCTCTTTAAATGTTTTTAAAAAAATGTTTTTCTGAAAAATATTATTTCTCAAGATGTCTTTAAAATTGTATCATGATTGATGGGGTGACCAAAGTTTGCAGTTTTTAAAAAATATTAGAAAATGTGATATTCAATCTATGATATCTTATATTTTATACAAATTTATTAATTTCAATTATTTCCAAATGGACGGCAATGTTTTTTACTACAAATTGGTTTAACTAGAAAATTTATCGTCCAGGGATTTCGAAGATATCGCGTTCTAACAATTTGATGTCAGATCGGCATGTGCACTGTAACTAAAAAAAATTATTTAAAAAACAAGACCTTACTTCATGCACAGGGGTTTACATGTACAGCCGATTGATGAATATCTGTCCTTTATTATAATATTTATTATTAATAGATCTAGAGAGTAGCTAGAGTCTACATCAGCCTTGAAGTTTTAAAGGAAATACTGTAGGGTCTATAGTCTATTGCATCAGTGCATGTAGATCTAATTTTAACTTGTCATGAAACACGTCTGGCCTCTGCATGGGTATCAGGTATACAGAAAAACAAAAGTAAACATCAGATTTATAGGACAAAGTTTGCATAAATCAGTCGAATGCACCAGCTGTGTAGACTAATGACAGGAATTTCAGAAACAGGAATCAACACCTCCAGCTGCAGCTAGCTGACTGAGCCAACTCGAATCGTTGTTTGTAAACAATGTTGCATTCACACACACAAAATCAACCTGTTCGACAACACAGACAGTCAGTCACTCATCGAGTCATTCTATCGAAATTCTCTTTTGTTTTGCATATATAATTCCCTCCAATTCACAATAAAGCACACTTTGATCTTACCTAGAATCGTACAATTCGTGGAGTAATATGTTTCACCTCATTTAGTTTGTTCAAAATGTGAATATCTAAACAACCTAGGCAAGCTGGCAATCTCTAGTCTTTCACCTCAACGTACGTGTACTAGACCTATACTAGCTAGCTTCCTATACGTGTTTCGGTCTGCACCGGCGCGGCAGCTTGGCCACTGTACTATACTGCACTCGCTCCATACACGTAGCGTAGCCGACCCAAAATCGACTCTAGATGGCGTAGCTCCTCCTCGACCACGTAATGTTGAGACAAAAAGTTGCACCTTTTTACACCCCCCCCCCCTTCCCCAACGGATAAACATGTACATGAAGTAGGCGATTCAACCAATAAAATCATACAACTTATTAAAATAGTAAATCCACAATTTATGATTATCGTGTTGCTTTACTAAGCATCATGTCTATTGTTGTTCTCTCTCTAGATGTGTTTCATTAGATCCCATTCTAACTCAATTTGCTGGACTGATCTATAGATGTATACTAAACATCGTAATTTTTTACCCTGATCACAGAATTACTATTTACTATTATTCTATCACCTTCTCTATTTACCTTTCCTCATGTTATTCTTTGTTTTTCCTTCTTTTATCTCTTATGGTATGCTTTATTTTTGTATTTTCTTTCTGCCTTTCTCATTTTATTCTTTAAAAATAATCTTCTATCATTTTCTTTTTCTGTTTTTCTTGTTTAATTCTCTGTTCTTCCATCTTTCATCTTTTCTTCTGTCTTTCCATTATATATTCTTTATCATTTTCCTTTTTTGTCTTTTTTTATGTAATTCTTTGTTTTTTTCTTCTAGGGCATCTTTAATGCCTTTGTTGGTTGTTATCATTCTATCATTTTTCTTCCTATACCATTCTTTATGTTATTCTTTGTTTTGTTATTCCATGTTTATATTACTCTATTATTTTCTCTTCCTATCTTTCCTTAGGCTACCCTTTGTTTTTTTCATCTATAACCTGTTCTTCTACGGGCCTTTGTGGACGCCACCCCTCGGCATTTGTTCATGTTACCCTTTGTTTCTTCCTTCTAAAACTTATTTTATCTTATCCTTTGTTTCTTCCTTCTCGAACCTATTCCCCTATTCTTATGTATCTTATCCTTTTTTTCTTCTTCTCTAACCTAGTCTGATATTATTCTGTTTTACTTCCTTCTATAACCCGTTCTTATGTTATCCATCGGCATCGTTTCTTCCCTCTCTAACCTTTTCTTATGTTATCCTTTGTTTCCATCAAGAACCTTTTCGTATGTAATTCTTTGTTTCTTCCCTCTTTAGTTTCCTTTTGCATGTTATACTTTGTTTCTTCCTTCTAGAACCTTTTCTTATGTTTTCATTATTATCCTTTGTTCCTTCGTTCCCTAACCTTTATGATGTCATTCTGTTTTAATTCCTTCTATAACCTTCTATAACCTGTTCTTATATTACTCTTTGTTTCTTCCTTCAATAACCTTTGCTTATGTTTCCTTTGTTTCTTCCTGCTATCACCTTTCCATATATGTTTCTTCCCTCTCTAACCTTTCTTACCCTCTGTTTCTTCTTTCTAGAACCTTTTTAGTATGTAATTCTTTGTTTCTTCCCTCTTTAGTTTCCTTTTGCGTGTTAAATTTTGTTTTTTCCTTCTCTAACCTTTTCTTATGTTTTACTTTGTTTCTTCCTTTTATAAACTTTCTTATATTACCCTTTGTTTCTTCCTTCAATAACCTTTCCTTATATTATCCATTGTTTCTTCCCTCTCTAACAATTCTCATGTTATACTTTGTTTCTTACTTCTATAACCTTTTCTTATGTTATCCTGTGTTTTAATTCGTTCCCTAACCTTTATGATGTTTTTCTGTTTTACTTCCTTTTATAACCTTTTCTTATGTTATACTTTGTTTCTTATACTTCTATAAACTTTTCTTATGTTATTCTTTGTTTCTTCCTTTTATAACCCTCCCTTATGGTATCTGTTGTTTCTTCCTTCTTTCACCTTTTCCGATGTTATTCTCTGTTTCTTCCTTCTATAACCGTCTCTTATGTTATCCTTCGGGGTTTCTTCCTTCTATAACCTTTTCTATTATGTTATTCTTTTTTTTAATCTTTCTAATTACGTTTTCCTTCGTCTTTATTATTTTATTATTTTCTCTTCCTATCTTTCCTTACGCTTCCTTTATTCTTCCTTCTATTACCTTTTCGAATGTTATTATTTGTTTTTATCAATATACTTGTTTTATCTTCCTATCTTTCCTTACGATATCTTTTTACCTCCTGTCACTTTTACTTATATTATTCTTTGTTTCTTCCTTTTATCACCTTCTATATAGAATATAGATTGAATTGGAATACTCATGTGGAAAGGTGTATGCAAAGGCTGTAAGTCGTTCATCTTGGTCCAAGCGTAGAGCCGGTCTTGTTCAAGACGATCTGTGTAGGTACTACCAAGCGGTCTGTATTGGAATATGCATGTGTCTTTCACGGGGGCCTAACCAAAGAGGAATCTAATTTATTGGAATCAATACAAAAACGTGCCCTGAGAATAATCACCCCAACCTATCTTATACTGACGCTTTAAATGTGCTGAACATTGATTCCCGAGCTGATCGTAGAAATAATATGTGCTTGCAATTATATAAACAAATACAGAAACCATAACACAAAATAAATGACCTTCTCCCACCAAAACGAGAGACAAAATATAACCTTAGGAGAAGTAAACAAGTGAGTCTGCCCAGGTGTAAAACAAACCGATTAAAGAATAGTTTTAACCCTTGGTGTGTGTATTATAAGAAGGTGATTAGTGCAATATACATTTTCAACCCTTCCATATTCTTTTGAACTTGTACCCCGATACATGCAGCTGATATTTTAATGATTTATTATCTTTGCTTCAGAGTATCAATCTTAAATAATTATTCAGTACAGTTTATACCCATACGTTAAGGTTCTTTATAATTATAGTATCTATTTTTATATTTGGATATAGAGTTTACTGATTGATCTCTGCAACTTTTTTCACCTCTTATTTTCTTTTTTTTCCCCCTCTCTTGCTCCCTTTTCGAAAATGAAATTGAATAATGTTTATAATCATTGTTGAAAATGAATGTCTGATATCGGGTATTATATCAATTATCCAACCCTTTGGTTGCTACGAATAAATAAATGAATATAATTATGTTCTCTTATATTATTCTTTTCTCTCTATCTTTCCTTATATTATTTTCTGTTTTTATTCTTGTACTTTGATCTTTTTCTCCCTTTCACTACTTTCCCGCCAAAACACACTCACTTCCGGTTGAAGATCGCTTCCTGGCATAGTTTGGGTTCACACTGCAAGCTAGACCGGTCCAGAAAGTGAGCGAGAACGGGGTCCAAGTCTATAGTATGTCTCTCACTATCACTCTCTCTCTGTTTCTGTTTCTCTCATTCCCTCCCTTCCTCCCTCTCTCCTCTCACTGTCAAAGAGGGTCCTACCTATTATGAAATTTGCAAAAATAACTTGTACCATGATTTTGTATTTCTTCAAAATTAATGCACATGACATGAACACTTATATTACCTCCTCTTTCGCTCTTTGCTTACACTCTCTTCCTCCAGTAAAAATCATCAAGTCGAGCATGATTTATAAACAACTTTATTTATTCATATTTTTATTTGTCATTTTTGTATATACAATTCTCTTTGCTCCCTCATATTTTCTTAGATGTAATCTCTCAATCCAATCCCATCTGTCCCTGAATCTTATTTTGTATAATGGAATCTCAACCTCATTCCCAATATCGACAGCTATCATGTGATATATTTTTAAGTCTTTTGAGAACCAGAAGGGCATTAGCTGATAGAATTTTACACAGAGTTAAAGCCCTTCTGGCCCTCACTGACAATATGTGCCTAGCTGTGGTACGTAGATATGCTGGTGGACATTTAAAGTGTATTACTAATCAAAGGGAAACATGTGTTCACAGGTAAAAAAAGAAAATTGGAAATACAAGTATTATTGAAACTGTAATTTTTTTATATCACATTTATTTTTGAACTTAATTCCAAATTTAATCTTGAAATCTATGTTACTATCACATCATAAGGCCATTTATTAACATGAATTCCCTGCACTAAAAAATATACTAGGGCAGCCTTACCACCCAAAACGGTGTCATATACTGGAAATATACCCAACATCAAATAAGTTTATTGTATATACCGGTAGACATTTTACACCATTCTGTCATTGTCTGCACCATCACCTGCTGTCACAATACATCCCATCCCAGCTTAGCTTAGAAAAGCTGCTTCAGGGATTATCTCATCAATGTTCAAGGTTCAAGTAATAATAATAAAAATAGGCATTTTTCTAGCGCGTCTATCTAGAAATTCTATTCCAAGGTGCATTTGTTATTTCCCCGGCTTTAGCCTAGCTGCCTAACAGCACTCCAGCATTTCAAGGAATTAATTCCTGTCGGGTACCCATTTACCTCACCTGGGTCGAGTGTGGCAAATGAAGATTAATGCCTTGCCAAAGGACACTAGTGACGTGTTGGGGGTCGAACCACGACCTTTGAATTCCAAGTCAAGTGCTTAAACCACTTGAATACTATACCAATGATAGAAAACTTAAAGGCAAATTCTTACCCAACTACCTTCCCTTTCAACACCTCTGATAAGTGATATAACTGATAAGTCACATTTTAACAGTCACATAGTTATATTATGTAATGACAGTCATTGAAAGGTAAATAGAAATAATAAAGTTCAAGGGTTCAATGAGCTTTGATGTTGTATAGTCTGTTGTCAGCCAAGACTTGGATTATGATAAACTGATCATGGAGAAATTGGATCTAAAGTAACCCTCATACAAGCTACAGTATGTAAAAGAACTATGGTATTGGTCTAAGGTCTTAATAAGAATGGTTTCCTTTGTATAGTGCTTGATACTTTATTTCTAAGCGCTTTACATTGAAAAAAAAAAAAATCCCTGGTCATTGCATTCAATTGCTAAATCTGCACATGATAGTGCACGCACTCTGCTCCCTTCTTGCAACTTGATCTGGATCCAATTTGGCTACAAGTTTCGAAAAATTCCTGTTGATCAGATTTTGCAGCACGGCAATGATCTAATGACATTCTTTAATTGGCTTTCTCTCACTCTCCAACAAGTTTTATTGCAAGTCCAACAATGATAACAATATTGATCATTTACGAGAGCTAAGAAACAAAAAGTACCATAGCACTTACAAAATAACAGAATGGGAAGAGAAACATGGAATACATAGACTCATAAAATGATGGGTAAGTCGCAATAAGTTACTGAGGGAACTAGGGAAGAAGTATGTTTTAAGGGATCTTTTGAAAGAGGCATGGCAGAACAATTCTCAATTGCAAGTGGGATAATGTTCCATGTTTTCGAAGCAGCCACTGTAAAACCAGATTTGCATCTCCCTGAATCCCAGATAGCACTTTACAGAGTTATAATTCATTTCTTCCTCTTCTTATCATCTGGTTTGTGGTCCTTCCTTTGCTAAGGCGTCTTGTAGGAGTTTGGCTAATCCACCTAATTCTGGCTTCCTTTCCTGTGATGGAGTCTGCAAATCACAAATTACAAAGTAAAATGGGAAAGCTGAAAATATTAATTTCCAGTAATGCTAATCAATCTTCAAAATATTTACATAATCAACAGGAAGGTCTACTCACATGACATAAAGACATACAGTATTTCTAAATATTTCTAAGTATCATCATAATCAAGGTGCTATCAACATTGTCTAATCTTAAGTAAAAGTCACCATGAGCTAAATTTATCACATAATTTTTGTAGGGAAAAAAGGAGAAAAAAATATTACGGAGTTATACAGGCTGAGTTAAGGGGATACACAAAGTATATATTCATGTCTAACAATGGGTGTATGCAAGGGTGTATGGATGTATGTATGTATATATATCAGGTTAAAATGTCACTGGAAAATCTGATTTATACAAGATCAAATAAAAAAAACTCAATGGGTCACTCAAAATGTTTAAAGTTTTTAAACAGGGTCTATTAATAAATTGCTTATTTTTTAAATGAAACATGATAGTCAAACTAGTTTTGCACTGCATTTGCTCAAGTTTTTCCCAATTTTTTATGAAACTAAGACTTGCCTCTTTCCTTGCTTGCATCCTGGGCACTCCTCGTCTCCGCAGATTGATGCCTTGAGCTGCTAGAGCTTGTTCTGTAGCAACCATGAGATCTTCTACACTCATACCTTCATTCTTAGCCTCCTGATCATGATATGTCTGGATGTACCTACAGAGTCAATGCCGATTTGGGATCAAATCAAACAGATTCAAAAGTTTCCATGAATCAAACATGTGTCAGACTAAATGATTTACCTTCAGTATTTCAAAAGGAGACAAAAATACCAATCTGATTTTCAACAATGTTGTGCAAGAGTTTAATAGACAGCTAAACATTATTATTTAACACTGTGATTAAACAAAAATATTTGCAATAAAGTGTCATTGTGCTGTCCAATTTCTATGTTTTCTATTACTTTTTTTTATAGCTCTTATGTCTAAATACATTTGTTCCCCCGAAAATTGGTACAAAAACTCTCTACTCTACTCAAATGATGAAGTTGGCAAATTCACACCAGGTTTTACGCATCAGTGCAGGGATGTCAGACTTTGCAATTAAATTCTTTCTGAGAAATTGACACTGAAATAAGAATGGGGACAGGTAGGTTCCTTCAACGCTACCAAACGGAAGCTTTGATCGAATAAAAAAACAAATGAACTATTCTATGCCTAAAAGTAAGGTAAATCACTAGTGATAGCCATCACTACAGTGAAGATTTGTATTAACAAGGACACTAGAGACCATAAAAGTTTTGTTATATCAGGTTTCTTGCTATATCAAAGTTCTTTATGAGTATCCACTGCATTGAAGTTGTACTGACCTGTTGCATATAGAGTCTTTGACTGACGAATGTTTGGTTAAGTCTAAGGTCTGCTGGCCCGCATAAGTCTGGTAAAATTTTCTGTAGACATGAAATCAATAAAAGAGAACAAAATTATACATATTTCAAAATTCAATTTTTGAGTAATATTTTTGTGTGTGCGTCGACTCATCAGTTTCACTGTCAGGATCTATATTGATAATATGATTCTATTTATTTAACTGTACCGGTACTAAAATAACATGAGCGTTTTGTTAAGTGGCCACTTCAGCATTATTCAACGTACATTTTGGAATTACCATTGGTAATTGACAACATTCTAAACTTAATTAACATCAAACTGTGTTTCAATTTAAGAAAACGTTTAATCAATATATATTATCAAGTTTCATTTTATTGTTTTTTGTTTTGTTTTTGTTCTGGACATTTTTTGAAAAGGAATATTATGTTCTATAAAGTGCAACTTATGGTAGTGGTCAAAATTTGTTTCCTCATAATAAGTTCATACAGTACATGAAAGGCTTATTGTAAAATCTGTTTTGTTCAGAACAGCAATCATGGTCATTGATTCAAAACGAGGGCAACTGGAAATAATGATAATCATCCATTATTAATGGAGTTGTATTGTAAAGGTCACTTTATTTTTTATGCCAGAGTATGAGTAGCTTAACAGCTAAATTGTTACTTTGCAAGAGTGACTTATAACCATGTTAATGTACTTCTTGCCATTTTTTTAAAACCTGAGCAAAGGACTACTTGCTAAATAGTATGTATGTATTTATTTTCCTTTGACTTTACGGAGAGGTTTAACAACTTACGCCCTCTGTTTGTCCTCTGGATAGAGAAGCTCCTTCAGAGGTTCTGGTGAGGTTGGTTGCTTGAAGGTCGGCTCATCTCTCGGAGGGAAGGTAGCCATGACATCATACCAGAGCGGTTTATCCATTTCTTTCATCACCCCTGCTCTCATTAGATCACGAACTCTGAAGACAAAAATAATAACAATCTATTTCTAAAGTCTAGAACATGACAAGATGAAGAAAAAAATTGTCTGTTTGAAGCAGCAAGTGTGTTGAGTCGACACTTTGTTCAAGACTTCATGTACATATGAGATTACTTAAAGGGAGTTCGCTTAATGCAGTGAACTCAGAGCGTGTGCCCGAGTACACTAAATTAATCGCCCATTTAATATCGTATGGTAAGTAACAAATTGACTACCGGTACGCAAAAACAGCGTTTTTCACATACATCTTGAGTATTTGTGTTTTCCAGCAACCCACCATCGCTATGCACTAGTATTGTGCAGCGGTTTACCGAAAAATACTCCAAAAATAACAAGAAAATTGACACAAAACAGTTAATAAACATAACAAATTTTAACTCATTATCTTTATTTGGACATTTAGATCTAATGGATATTTACTTCATTTTGGGTATGTTTAAGAAGTATCTCCACGCTAGACTAGAGTTACGGGTCAAATTTTGGATAGAGGTCTAGATCTAAGTACGTTAGATCTAGACTCTAGATCTACCTATTTCTGAACAAGCGCCCACAATTTTATCTAACTTATTTTGCTGAAGCCGAGGGGGGGGGGGGGCCGGGGGGGGGGGAGGTGTTGAGTAAAATAAAATATGAGCTATTCTACCCCCCCCCCCCCCCCGTTGAGCATTACAAAGAATTGCATACAATTGGAGCTTCCTGGAGTTACTTACAATTGAGTAACTCACACAACCAACACAGACCTGAACGCGTGGGACTGCACTCAAGAGTCGAGGCCCTGCTCTGCTCTCAGCTCACCAATCACACATTTACGGTTGATTGGACCACTTGATTTAAAATTCAAAGTTTTCGTTCTTCATTACGTACCTTGTAAATACTGTTCCAAGCTTTTCTAAACGACTTAGACTCGTCATGATGTCTTCAAAAAATATTGTTTTCTCCACACAAATCGCGGTTTGTAGTCTTTCTACCAGTCGGATAATGGGGTGGTTATATAGTTAAACAAGGGTACGGTGTAACGGTGGCTGGGTGGTATTATATGGGGCAGATGAAACCATATTTCATAAATTTAGCATCTCCCCACCATATTTTGTTGCTTGTGTATTTTCGTTACATATAAGATCTGTGAAATTTAAAAATAAATATGTAAGACAATACATGCAGCCAAATTCCCCAGGGAAAGATCTTTCAGTTTACTGAGTTTATATCTGCATGCAGGAACATGCCGTACATCCAGATACCAAAATTCTTTTATACCACAGGCAGTGAAGGTAATCAACATGATGAAACTTGTGTAAATCTACCGATTTCTAATTTCCTTTCTGGTGTTTTCCCCTCTCTTTCTCAAATTCTTCTCTTTTCCTCCTCCTTCTTCTTCCATTCTTCTTTGGTAGATTACACATGTTTCTTTTTCCTTTATGTACATGTATTTCATAATTCTTGCAATAATGTCTATTGTCTACAATGTTTAGATACTTGTTCTCATTTTACAGAGTCTACAGATTTTATTGATATTTCCCTAACTTTCTTCCTATCTCCCTCTCTCTCTCTCTCTCTCTCTCTCTCTCTCTCTCTCTCTCTCTCTCTCTCTCTCCCCCTTTCTCTTTTCCTATTTCTCTCCATCTGTTTTACTCTCTTCTCTTTCTATGCTCTCTTGGGAATTTCTTTATTGTATGTTTCATGTATTTCGGGTTAATTGCAATGATGTCTACAATGTTGAATACCTGGACTGTTTTTACAAATTCTACAGATTGTATGTTACATGTATCTCAGATTAATTACAATGTCTATAATGCTTGGATACTTGGGCTGTTTTTACAGAGTCTACAGTTGGTATTGATATTTCCCTAACTCTCTTCCTATCCCCTTCCTTCTCTCTCTCTCTCTCTCTCTCTCTCTCTCTCTCTCTCTCTTTCTCTCTCTTTCTCTCTCTCTCTCTCTCTTTCTCTCTTTCTCCTTTTCTTCTCTTCCCTCTCTCCCCTATCTTACTCTTTTCTCTCTCTATGCTCTCTTGGGAATTTCTTTATTGTATGTTTCATGTATTTCGGGTTAATTGCAATGATGTCTACAATGTTGAATACCTGGACTGTTTTTACAAATTCTACAGATGTTATTGATATTTCCCTAACTTTCTTCCTATCCTCTTCCTTCTCTCTTTCTCTCTCTCTCTCCCTCTCTCCTCTCCTTTCTTATTTTCTCCCTCTCTCTTCCTCTATCTTACTCTATTCTCTTACTATGCTCTCTTGGGAATTTCTTTATTGTATGTTACTTGTACCTTCTCAATACTTTAAATTTAAAAAATTATTCTTTAGCTGACATATTCCCCTCTTTTCACTATTGATCTTTTTTAAACCCAGTCTTATGCATTTTAATTTTCTTTTATTGGACTCTCGGTCTGTACCTGATTTAGATTTTGCACAGCTCGAGAGCCCTCTTTTGACGTAATTGTAATGATGTATACTTATTGTTTATATGTCCTTTTTGCAATATTTTTTGATAATAGTTTAGTTATTTGATATTTTAACTTATGTAACTTATGTATTTATTCATTACTACTATTTTATTATGTATATTTGATTTAAATTATATTTTTGTACCCAAGACAGTTGTCAGTCTTTGGACTGTTTGCTCTTGGTTTTTGATGTTTTGATTTCAATAAAATCCTATATATATATATCCCAAAGGGAGCCCAACCTGTCTGCACCTGAGCAACACAGCTTTTTCTTTTTTTTCCTTTTAAAATATCAGAGAACCCTTGTATTATATGAGTGGGTTAGTCAGGATGGTGTCGAAAAGAAAGAACAGGATTTTAACCTGGTTGATATTATAAATATACATGTAAGTAAGAGTTCCTTTGGACCCCCCCCCCCCCCCCCCCCACGAAATTGAAGAAAAAAATGGGTATGACTTAGGATGATATATAATAATATAGTATATAAGACATGCGAAAGCACTTTAATAATAATTTATTTGATTTTTTTGGATGTTGAAGAATAACACAATGTAGCATATATATATATATATATATATCCTCATCACTCAGCAATAAATCGACCTTGAACAAATTAATACATTTAATTCATAGAGTTCTAGTATTTATTTACACATTTCCACACATCATTCCCTGCCTTTAGACTACAATACAACAACAAACGTGTACAAATTAATCAATTGTTGTTTAAACTTGATTTGAATGTTACATATTCTTTCCCACTACAGAATAGGTACTTATATTGTTAGCTATATCTTTAAAATAAACAAAACTGTACCTGAATAGATCAAACTAGGAGTTTCCTCTAATGATTGTCCAATACAAGAAAATAATGGAATTAGAGTATCCACGGCAGAGGTAAATTAAATAAAAGACAAAGTAGATGTCTGTTAAAAGAAAGGTAGAAATCTACATACAATTCACATACCCAAACACATACACACAAAAAGTAGAAATAAAGAGGAAAATCATACATCGATTATATTCAAAAATAAATTGTAACATAATATTTATGAAAATTGTTATATTATCATACATAAATAAATTATACATCAATATTAAAAGGGAAATAAAAATGGACTTATTATAGATAGGGGAGGGAACTAATATTGGCAGCTACAAACTCAGTCAATCAAACCTGAAATATAATGCCTCGATCTGCCTCTGAATTGAGGTACTGAAATAAAATACCAATGAAAATTAAAGAAAATGGGATGGGGGGGGGGGCACATTTTTGAGGTTGTGTACTCAAGGTATGCCACATGGGTTTAAAAGGGTCAGGGCTAACTTGACACTACGGCCAACTCAGCCTTTTATAGTGGACATTAGGCCGAGTTTGGCTGAGTGTGGCTGATCGAGTTATCAAAATGAGCTCAATTGAGTGGGATATATGTTTAAGAAAATTTAAACATGCTGATAAACATTTAGTTGACTCCAAATGGGCAAGACCTATAGCACCGAATTACTATATGCTCAATATTATGATGTTAACGTTTAGAACACATTATATCTTGTGTTTGTAATCGTGAAAGTGGCCGGGCAAAAGAAATTTACACAAATATGAATTATATTCCAAAACAAGTTTGTTACACAGGGTTACAGTAGGGGAAATTATAACATCATTAAAGATAAACTTGAGTTCTGGTGAAAAAAACAGAAAATGAATTCTCACAGAATCCAACAAAACTTACACTGAATGTTCAAGATTACAAATAAATGTCATGTGCCAAACAATTTTGGAAGAAAATGTATACTGGCTGAGTAATGAGCAAAGAAAGATAAGGAAATCTGGGTAGAACTAGCCCCGACACCATGTGTGTTGTCCCATATACATCTTTCTGTGTAAGTGATTGTTACTTTACCAAGACTCTGCCAAATTTATGATGATTTTGATGACTCCAGAACCTTGCATTACACACCATTACTTACATGCTATATGATCAACTTTTCTGATCCATTCCACACCTTTTCTTTCATAATGCAATCGCATTACCAGAAATCAAGTTTATCTTTAATTTGTGGTCCATATGAACCGTCAGCTAGCTGCACAACTCAATTTTCCATACATTGTACTTAAAAATATCATATTAAAATATTATATATATTTTATCATTTTGTTCCTATAGTTCACAAGTTTGATCTAAATAGTTACAGGATTTACACATACCAGATAAAAAAAATTATTTTCAGAGCACATACATGCATTTCTTCACATTTTAATAAATGTTAGAAATTAATGTGAATTTTGCATATTATGTCACAAAGCTGTTTTTATGTCACAAAACTATGTTATGATGCCATTAGGAATGTTATAAAAAAAATCATACCATGACAGTGACTAGAGAAAAGTTACTTCACTAGAAATCTATAAAGTCATCTTACTTTCATTGATAAATCCACTGCTCAGAGCAAGAGGGGAATTACAAGTCTACATACACCTATGTAACAGTATTCAAGTCAATGCCCTTCTGGCTTTCAGCAGATGATATCAGTCTGATTTGGTGCATCCTAGCTACCCATTCATAATAAATAATAATATTAATAATAATATTAATAATAATCTTTTAAAGTCCACTCCAAATTTTATTAAGTTAAACCGAAAATGGAAATTCTTTTTGCCCAATTGATCGTGAGCCCGGCAGCCACTGAGCAGCCCCAGATCAACATTGCTCTATCCCCCTTAAGGCTATGAAAAGACACACCAATTCCTAACTGTTAGGACAACAAAATATAAAAAATAACAGATACAAATAATATATTTAAAATAATTCCTTTTTTACTTTAAAAATATGAAATAAGTGTCTATTCTTTATTCCCACAATACCCTTTTTAAAATTAAGTTTTACTTTACAAGGTTTTAGTAATCATGCATGACAATTTTGTTTTCCTTTTACAGACACAATCTAATGAAAAAAATTTAAGGACATATCTTTCAAAGCATATTATCCCTATTAATTTGTTTTTACTCTTTAAACTATACCAATAGACACACACGATTGTGATGCCTGCATGTACACGATACTGTTCTCATGTTTACTATACATTAACTCATCATTAACAATAAAACTTTTCTTCCCTCACATTAAAAGGAAGAAACTATTCACATGCTATAACAATATTTATGAAAGAAAGACTAATTTCAGCTGAATATACAAGCTCGGCGAGAAACACACATGCACACAGAAAACATACATAGAAAAGTACATTATACTGGACTTACAACTTGTCCATTGTACAAAATGGTTGTCATATCCACCCAAATAGGGAACAATACATATTTGTATTGCTATAAATTTATATATAAACACACTTCTTATATATACAGAAACAATATCTACATTCTAAATTGCACTTTGAGTGTTGTTTTTGTCAAGGTGGTAGTGATAAGGCATGTTCTTAAAATATAAATTACATGACATAATATGTGACTTAATATATACATTAACATACCTATGCATATTTCCTTTTAATTTTTTATCACGGCTATTTCTCAAACGCATGTGACATTTAAAGATTTAAGAATAAGATTTAACATGAAGCAAAAGAATGTAAATAATTTTACAATCATATTTGAATAGACTACCTGAAAGAATCGGGTTATTCTCACAAAGAAATAAGCAAGGACACTGTAACTAATTACAGTGTCCTTGCTTATTTCTTTGTGAGAATAACCTGATACACACAAAAACTAATCAATAACACATATAGAAATTGGTTCTTTATCTTGTGCTCAAGATAAAGACTTTGTCCCCCCGCCCCAAACCAATTCTGATATGCAAGTTATATTTGAGTGGTGCATGCTATTAAAATGAATAAATCCTGGATAAAGGAACCTAAATAATGCACTTGATTGAGGTAATTTAGAGAGAACATATTTAAAGCTTGATGGTAGTTTGATCTAAATTAATGCAGAATCATTGTTGGTGAAAACATCAGAAATATCTGATAGGAGGTGGGAAAGATTTGAAGTTCAAATAATTTTAAGTTTAAATAAAAAGTATGGAGATCATCAAAAGGCATATCATGGAAATCTGAAAATTTGCAACCCTGCCACATGACTGTGATATCAAGCTTGTGTTTCATTCCGATATCCTTGTACATCAAATAACTGAAATTAGTCCTCCTCTACTATAGAGAAACATACTTTCAATTAGGTTTTTCAAGTTCTTCAAGTAACTACCATTCATTTCAGCCATTTTTCATTCAAGTTACTGGATTTGTCTAAGGTCTAAATTAAAAATTCAAGGTGACATTTACAACAAAATCTATATACCCAAAACAAAATAAAAATAAATGAAAACAAGGCAACAACAACTTACTTGATAATAAACAAATCATACATCATACCCCATACAGCTATCAAATTAAAATACTTTTTTTTTAATGCAGATGAAGAAAAAAAGATTAAGTATATTTGGCACACTCTTTACATAGCATTAATAAGCAAAACACACACACAAAGATGCATACAGGCTTTAGAAATTCAGATGAAATAATTATGAAAGACATGATGTATCTAATAGAGTACCAAAATGTGACGTCATACTGGCCAAGTTGTTAAGGTTGCTGGTTCCAAAGACTTGTGTGGTAAACGATTGTGTGGTGACCACACCAGCCCAAAACACTGAAGTTAACCTGCTCCAGCCCATTGCTTGGATGATTTTGTGGTGAACCTCATGCACAGGCTTTGTTGTTTAGGACCAGTAACCTGGACGACGAGTGAATATGACTTTGACACTTGGGTACTCAATAATCTTTATGTCAAGGGTTCTATGTACAATACCGCTAGGTTCTGACAAAAAGCGCTCAAACCTGCAGTTGAAAGACATTTCATTTTACTTCCTTTAAGGATAATATTAAATGTACATTATTTACAAAACTGAATACACACTGCTTGACAAAATGCAGATTAATAAAAAGCTGTGTGAACTAAATACAAGATAATCATTTATCTTGTCCACATATTCGACACAATTTTGATAAATGAGTTGTGACTGTAGTATCGAATGTTCATGTTAATAGACAGTTACCATATTCAAATGCATAGTCCTATACCTCTCCCACAGTTATGGAAATAGGCACGCTTATAAAAAATATGGATTTTAATAATTTTCAAGAATGGCTATTAATAAATGACCCTGTCTCTATGTCCAATCTTAAAATGATAAGCTAAATAAATTCTTGATAATAATAATTGTTTTGTTTTTGGCAGGAGTAGAAAGTTCATTGAGGTATTAGATAATACATGCATTTCATTTCAAATATTGTGACACTTGACAATAGATGCATATTGTTACAACATCTGTTAGAGATCGTTTTTTAAGGCCTTATCAGCTACATTTTATTCTCAATGTGAATGTTCAAAGTCTGATTGATGGAACTGTCATCTCTGACACATTTGGTGCAAGTTTTTTTTTTTAGAATCAAGTCAATAGATACTGCCTTCAGGTATATTTGTCCATTATTCCTCAATGCTCGTTCAGATATCATGTGGTAAACCGCATCAGGTATTTGTTTTTTAAAGTGTAAATGTTTGGCAACCACAGGCAATAAGTGTTCTTCACATATTCACTTACCTCTGAGTACTTAAAGGTAGTACAAAGTTGCAGGAAATTTTGAAATTTGAGTGGATAGTGACTCTTTACAATTTTGATATACTTGGATGCCCCTGTGGATGTATTATAAGCACTAGAAAATTTAGCCCCTAAAACATTTACCGGTGCTCCCGGTATATTTTGATAAATATCAAATAGCGCCTACGGCCGTAACAATGGTAGCTGCGACTATGAACATTTCAGAATATGTAGTTGTGATATATAATTTCCAAACGGAAATAGCTAATCGGTTGATTTTATTCAAGAAACATTGTTTTATAGCTTATTTAATATCTTGACCTTGAGAGGCAGCTTTACAACATAAAGAGTTCATTATTTACAATTTCATAACTTTAGACTCAATTTCAATCGCAACAATGATCACTGAATATTGTAGGATCGCATATGCTTCCAATATGTTCATTTGAACCAAATTCATGACCCCATACCAAAACTTTTTATTACCTTTAACATACAGAAATGTGAAGTGTATTACCGGTACATATATCTCATCGGTAAAAAAAAATTGCCTGCGTCGTCATATCTGAACAAGAACCCTCTGCATTTCTACAAGTACACACTCACTCAACTTATATTTCAGGTGAAAACAAAATATAACCACGCAGCTTTTGACACAGTCTTTTCTCTGCAAGTCTTATATTAGATTCACTGCAGATATCCATATACCATAACTCCTGAGTCGTCACTTGTTTCTGCATGCTTTGTCCAATTCAAGCTTTATCACACTGGTGCACGGGGAAATCAATCCAAACAGCTAGAAGCAAACTGGACCAACTTTGATATCTCTTGGTGCTGTAATCATGGTGTAATAATGAAAACTTGGAGAAGTGATCCCTGGACAAGTGGCAGTCGGCATTGCCAATTTGAAGTGATGTCCACGCGGCATGGAGAGATCAGATGTCCGACCATCAAGGCCTTCCTGGAGGTGGATGGGCAGGGAGCGAGCAGGGAGTGATGTCCATGCAGCATGGAGAGGTCAGATGTCTGACCATCAAGGCCTTCCTGGAGGTGGATGGGCAGGGAGCGAACTGGGAGTGATGTCCATCCAGCATGGAGAGATCAGATGTCTGACCATCAAGGCCTTCCTGAAGGTGGGTGGGCAGGGAGCGAACTGGGAGTGATGTCAATGCAGCGTGGAGAGGTCAGATGTCTGACCATCAAGGCCTTCCTGGAGGTGGATGGGCAGGGAGCGAACTGGGAGTACGCCCTCGTGTGTCAGGGAATCGTGCAGTGACTGGCATCTGAGGCGTCCTAGGTCTCTGCAGTTCGGTGAGTCCACCCTGATTGTGGTTCCCAGATTTGTTCTGGAGAAGGAAACAGTGAAGTGTCAGTCGTTGGGAGTAAACTCATTTTGAGATCCGAGCTAAAAAGCAAAAAGGTGGGGAACGGGTCCCCAGACAGGAATTTTCCCCACCTCAGAAATTGAGTGCATACGTTAACAGAAGTTAAAGGCAGGCTTTACTACTTCAGCCAGAAGGGATTAGACCACCCAGCAAGCCAGCGAGGTCACTGTGACAGGTGGCTATCTCATTAACTCAGCTCTCATTTAACATAAGAAAAAGAGGATCATGGGGGACCAACAGGCACCGATTGGGGAAGTTTTCTGTATAGAGGGAGCAAGTAGCTACAAGTAGGACAGTGTGCCTTTAAGATCAAAATCCTTAACTAATAATGTGACGGAAAAGACAGTAAGGCCTACTGCTTTTAATTCAACTAAAAAAAATTGCTTCTCTGGAAAAAAAATGACAATGACAATATAATGAATTTGTTTACAATGATAGCTAAATATGCAGAAAGCAGTCAAACAACGTCACCACAAAGCAAAATAACACAAGGCTACCTACAGCATACAATACGAACATGTTGATCAGACTATTACAATTACAATGTAGGCCTTATTGTCTCTGTGGTTGGGCAGTGATTGATACAAGCATTTTTAAGGACGATCGAAAGGCTCATCGATGTTGACTGCTTTAATATCTTTTCCTTTTTCACAATATCTTAGGCCAGCCATAATTTTGCGGATATTTTGACAATTAATGCCTATCACATTCTAATTGTAATAGTCTGATCAGCATTTTAGTATTGTGTGTGGTAGCCTATCATAACTTGCTCAGTTGATGTTGAGTCATTGACTTCCATTTCTGAACACACTCAGTATAAATCTTCTTTTGGGAATGTTTGACTAATGTTTGTATGATACTTCATTTCCTGCATCCTCTGTTTTCTTGTTACAGCATTTTTTATTTCCAGTGCACTGACCTGATTACCCCTTGGGCTGATCTGGGCCGGCTGGGGCGATGAACCTCTCGGAGACAATTTCCCCCCTCCCCCTCCTCCTCCTCCACCTCCAGAGTTACCCCTGTCTAGCAGCATGCCCCCCTGTGGTGTGGCCTGCGGTAGGAGGGATCCCGATCCTGGAGCCGGCAGCCCCCCTCCTTCCCCTCCTCCTCCTCTACCATCCCTAGGTGTGACTGGAGGAGCAGGCATACTGGGCCGTTTGGGTTCCCACGACACTTCCCACGCCCCGTTCCGGTTCTGCTGCTGATGCTGCTGCGTCTTAGGCATCCCGCCCCCAGGCTGAAGGGGTGCCACCTGGGCTATTTCTTTGGAGGCGTGGGGTTGGTGGTGGTTGATGGGTAGTTGGGGTGAGCGGTTGAGGTTGCGTGGGGTAGGAGTGGGGGAGGGTGAGTGCTGGTTGTTGGGGGCGGGGTGATGATTGTTGGGGGTTGATGGATGACCTGCGGGGGATAGGAACCCTGGACTAGGCGGCCTTAGTGCTGTTTAGAAGAAAAGTAAATGATACATCAGTTGTACAATTTGTAAAATATCTTATTTAATTCAGAGTTCAGAATGTAATGAATTAACATATGTACACTGATAACGAAGAACTTTCTCGAGTCTCCTATAAACTAAAGAAAGAATAAATGTTGAAATAAGGCCATTCAGTAAACTCCACGGATGAAACTGGTTTGGTACAGAAAGTGTATCTAAAGTGTATCTAAGAATTTACATGAATGTATTCTGTAAAAGCCGTAATGCCACTAAGTAAACCTAGACGTACTCAGATTACAGTGTCATCTTTTCTCTTAATTTTGATGAAATCAACAAATATATAAATGAAATGAATTCTTATTTCTGCTTACCAAAATCCGGTTCCGGTGCATTAGTCGGCGATCTGATTGGTGCGATGGGTTGATGAGGAGCCGTGAGTGATAACCCTTCCTCTTTTCCTCCGCCAGCACTACCTTTCTTCTTCTTCTTCTTCTTCGCCTTCCCTCCTGTTGTGGTTAACCCTGCTTCTGGGAGGGCCAGGGGTAAGGGTTGAGGAGCCAGAGGTAAGGGTTGGGGAGCCAGGGGATCACCCAGGGGAAGGAGACGACGGGGTGAGATGGCTGTTAAAGCTTCAAGCGGTTGGGGTGGCAGCTTCTTTTGCTTCTGTTGTTGCTGCGGCTGTTGCTGTTGTTGAGGAGGTGTTGTTAAAGGAGGAGATTGTGCCCCTTGAAGGGGTGCTTTATTGAACGGTGCAATCTAAGTAAAATAGAAGAGCATCAAAATAATAAAAGACTTTCTGCTCTTTGCAAGTTAATAACTTAACAAGTCAAACATTTAAAAGCATTGAAACTTATTCATAAGATAATGGATTCTAATTCCTCAACATATATAAAAATAAACAAGCTGAAATTCAACTTTAAAAAAATCGGAAAAAAGAAAAATTGTTCGTTTCATGGTCTACATATTACAGATCCTTGGAAGTAGTTTGATAAAAGAAACTCGATGAGACAATTGTTATTATAACTCTAACTTAAGTTACATTCAGGTAGGTCACATATATAGGTTTAAGGGATTCAAGTCTGACCATTTTTTTTGGTCAGACTTTTTGTAGCAGCTTTGAGATCTGTTTTAATGTTTGTTTGACTTACCTGAGGCATGGGTGGGGCTGATGGAGATGGGGATGACGGCATGGCATGAGATGGAGATGGAGGTGATGATAATGAGTGGGGTGCGCTGGAAGGGGCCAGAGCCGGACTGGGTGGGCGCGGTGGCATGGGAAGCTTCTGGTTGACTACCACTTGACCTGATGGGTGTGGTATCCAGCCAGGACTTGCGACAGGCTGGTGATGAGGATGATAATGATGAGGAGGATGATAATGATGAAGATGATGATGATAAAGATGTTCATGATGATGGTAGTGATGGTGATGGTGATCATGATGGAGGTTTCGATGGTAGTGGTGGTAGTGATGGTAGTAATGATTATTAAGGATGGGATGGTTGTGATGATGATGGTGGACGTGGTGGTGGTGGTCATAATGATGACGGTGGTGATAATAATGGTGATGATGATGGTAAAGATAATAAAGAGAAGGAAGGTAATGATGATGATAATGATGGTGGTGGTGGTGGTGGTGGTGGTGGTGGTAATGGTAATGGTGATCATTAATAACGATGGAGATAGTGATGAGTCGAGGTGGTATTAAATACAATCATGATGATGGTAAAGTGATGTATTTACATGTAATATCATTATAGACAGTTGTGATGAAAATTATGATGGAAAAATAAATACATGGAGAAATAAATTGATAAAATAAAAAGCTATGAATATAATATTGATGAAATCTATATTGATAATTATGAACAATGCATGGCATATATGAGCATGAAGCAACTGTGACAAACATACATGTATATGGATTAAGGCTATAATGACATGTTTTCCATTGATATAAAAGCTATATTGCTTACTGCCTTTCTACACCAATAGTCCATCAATTTTATTTTTCCTCCATTGCTAATTACTAGTTATTAGAGAAGAGAAGAGGCCTACAAATGTTGGAGCCTCATACATGCTGTACTAAATAAAGCATGAAAAGGGCTGATAAAAAGAAGTACCAGGGCTTAAAATCAAGCTCATTGATGAAAACCGACATGTTATTTTCACAGGAACCTGCATTAACAATCCCCATAATTGAAAAAACACCTGCATATAAAACCCAAATTTATTGAGTCCCTGGGGTGGGGTTGGGCGGGGGGGGGGGGGGGGGGGATGAGCCTACCTCTTTGAGCCTCTCACTGACCCTCCCTTCCTCCTTAGTTCCTTCCTCGCCCTCGATGTCCGAAACATCCATGCCAAAGTTGATGCTTTGTTCACTCATGTCGCTGACCACGCTCCCTGACCGCCCTCGTGGAAGACGAGGCCCTCTCGTCACTAAATCAATAAGATAGAGAGCAACACACAAGTTGAATACATACTTCCATAATTACATATACAGACAGTCAAACCTGCTTTAGTGACCACCTGTCTACAACAAGCACATTTTATTATTTCCCTTGAAAATGGTTTCTCATTGCAACACGTACTAAAGGAACCTGTCTACAAAGACCACTTGTTGTGTTCTCCTTGAGTAGTCGCTGTAGACTGGTTTGACTGTATATTATGAAACGGTTCTTTCTTCTGATGATCAATGTTATTTCTTCACATTTTTTTTCCAGTTATGTATAAAGCTTTCTTTTACAAACCCAAACAAAATAATTGATCTTTTATATATCTTATGTTATTGCCAAATCCCTTGCTTGTTAAAAATAGACAAAAATAAGTTTTTATTAAACTATTTTCTCCAAAACAAGTCTATTATAAGAAAGCAAATTTTACCCGCATATCAGAGGGATTTGCTCATGATGGTTTGTTTTGTATCAGAACGATCAAACATGACAGCCACATAAAGGAAGCATAACAGAGTCGATGCAGAACATCTATGAAATGCTAATATCATGTCTGAGAACCATCTACAAGTATGTGTCTTATTAGGAGCGTTCTAGATTCTCTTATCTTGCATGATAAATTCAGCAATTTAGGTATCAAATTTGAATGCATTGTACATTTGTTTATTGATATTTTGATAATGTATCCTATATCAGAAGCAAAAAAAACTGTGCTCCTCCTTGTGCTCGTGTAGCATCATAAGATAAGGAAGTGAACTCTGATGATAAACCTACCTTGTCCTTCTTTCTCAGCGGCTATCTGACTAGACGGCTGCATGTCACTATTAATGATAGCGCCCTCTTGTGATTGCACAAATTCCCTGTCTGATGGTGGTTTGTATTGCACTACCTCCCCTTGTTCTGAGTCCTAACAAAGCGAGAGAAATAAAGAGATCATTTCCATGAAACATTGCAGAAAACATTTGCTGAAATAATCATTCAGATGAAAGCAAATAACTTGTAAGATAACGAACTTTAACAGCAGATAACGGACTAAAATAAGCATTTTTTCTTTGGATTATTATTCATTTTTAACCAGCAGATTACCCTCTTTCACGGCAGAGTTTATTCTAATTATACTATTTTGAGGACACTTTATATACCCTCTATAATAACAAGTTGCCAAATAGTAATATATTCTATCAATTTATCAAATACTTTACACTACTTTTCAATCAATTTTCAATAATTTCCATAATTCTTAGAATGCCTAGAATTTGATGAGAAAAGCACAGTAAAAATGATTAATTGATAACATGATATACATTTACTACTTACCACAGGACTAATAACGATGTCACTCTCCAAGGGAGCACTCCCCCCTTCATGCGCACAATGGTCTGGCCCATCCAGTGATTCTTCATTTAACTGTGTCTGGGGTGCCGGCTGTACCATTCCCATATAGGGGTGCGTTGGTATGCTTGGTGAGGGGCGTCTTGGACTATGCCCTCTCTTGGGTGGGGGTGGTGCTTGGATGAAGGGGCGGGGCTGGTGGGGAGGGGAGGGTATCCTACCCTCATGATCTGGTGAGAGTTGTTGACGATTTGGTTGTGAGGACGGATTGTTCCCTGAGTTTTGTATTGAGTTATTATTCTCCTGCAGGAATAAAACATTAGAAAGTACAGTGTATAAATGAAAACGACATGAATGTGACTGCATCTTTAGTATGCCTCTACCTGTCTGTATGCCCAGTTAAAAATGATCTTATGACCTCATAAACCCAAAACTTTTCATTTAATTTGTTCATGCTTGTACATACTTGAGCCAAGTTTGATCAACATTGGTTCAAGTTTTGGTAAGTTATTATGATAAGATATATTCTGGGAATTTTAGCACTTTCATGAGCCTGTAATTTTTCACCTTTGACCTCTTACACCCAAAATCTAATCAGTTCATCCTTGCATGCTCATACATACTAAGCCGAGATTGTTTTTGATTGCTTCAATGCATTTAAATTTATCACGGAAAGAAGGAATTTTTGGTATTTTTTAAACATTTAATTAAATGTATATAACCCTGTGACCTTTGACCTTCAACCTCCTACACAGTACACCTGAAATCTAATCAGTTCCTTTTTGCATGATCATTTATATTTCATCAAAGTTTGCTTTGAATTGGTTCAATACTATTAAAGTTAAAGCTGTAAAAAATATTATCTAGCATTTAATAACACGTTTATGACCCCGTGACCTTTGACCTTTGCTGCCCCAAAATCGTATCAGTTCTGGTCAAAATCCGCTCAATGGTACTTGAATTATTGCTGTAACAAAAAACATAATGCCTCTAGCACCACCTTTAGTGGCGGAGGCATAACAAGGTTATCCAATTCACAGAGGAAGGATAAATACATCAAGAAGCCAAGACCTACGGTCATCTTTCGGATTTGGATTCATGATGGCTTTACCTTACAGGCAGTTCGTTTTAAGTGGGGTTGACGGTATGTGGAATTCATGATTACATTTCCTTACGCATATGAACTAGAAGGTCAGCTTTTATCATATAGTAGATACAATCATGAAAGGTTAACATACCTCTTTTGCTTTATGTCGATTCCTGCCTCTGCTAGGAGCTCTTTCTCTGGGTGAGTGATACGAGTCAATGATCAACTTACAGTAGTGCAAGTCCTTCTCCTCGGCATAGTCCCACGCAGTCTTTTCTGAGCTATCTAATCTGTTGACATCGGCTGTTTAAACCAACAATTATACTAATAATGATGACTGTATCGTTGACTAAGATTAATGTCTCATCGAGGAATCACAGTACTGTATTTTTTAAATATTGGAAATTAACCTTAATGACTAATTTTTTTCTCCCATGTTTCTTTCAGACAAGAGTCACTTACTTTGTTTTCATATGGGGGTCTTTCCATTTTCCATATTTTTCATATTATCCCATCCCCACGTTCCTCTTTCCTTTCCTTCTAATGTTCCCCAAAGCATGATTATGGAAATTCAAATATTAGGTCAGGGTTTGGGTGAGAGTTACAGCTGGGAGAAAGAGAAAAAGGAGACCATGCCAACAGGGCTCCATAGGGACAGGGGAACACAAAGATCAAATCCTAGGGTGGGGCATGAAAAAACCCAATCTGGCAATCACATCTTAAGGATACATTAAGTATACATCAAGATAAAAACCCAAAATACATCAAAGTCATCATTTAATTGTACTCCACAAGCAAGGTGCTTACAGCCATAAAAGACAAATGAAAATGCATCCTTCACCCACCCCCCCCCCTCCCCCACCCCTCCTATCATGTCAGAGAATGTTTAAGGAAAAGGGCATTTGTAAAATGTGAAACCTTTTTTTCCTATTGCTTGTAACAGTTGTTTTTTATGATTATAAATAATAACTTGTGCCTCCCCCCTTCAAAAGAAATCTGAGATCCACCACAGATCAATAAATTACTGGTATAACATTATAAGAGATTGAATGACATACCTCCATGGTCAAGAAGAAAGTTGACCACCTCCCCATGTCCACCTACAGTGGCGAGATGAAGACATGTCCTATTCTGATGGTCAGTCTCATTTAAACAGTCAGGGCCGACCTTTGACACGATCAATCGACATGCATCAAGAGCACCTGGAAAAGAGTAAGACACACACACACATACATACATTGTAAGAAACCATTATATCACACAAAAATATAAAGTAAAGATGATACTAATAACAGCAACGACAATGGGTGGTGCTTGTACAGTGTTTTGGTTTGTTTTGTTATACATGTGAGCGAAATAAATATCCATCTTGAATATACATTGGACAAATTAATCAATCAAACTGAATTGAATTGAATTGAATTTTCTATGGAATGTGCAAGCAAAGTTGAAGATAAGTGGCATTATTTTCATTTATTAAACTACTCACTTATTTGGTTGATTAATGATGATGAAAGTAAATTAAAACAAAGCTAATTTCGATCAATAAAGAATACATAATTCTGAATAAAAAGTCGATGTTTTCATCTTCTTTCGGTCCAATGAACGACAAGATGTCTAATGATACCTAATGAAGCAGCGAGGTGGATAGCTGTCCTCCCTTCCTTGTCTTTTATAGCAGCCGTAGCAGGACTCAGTAAACTCTGAAAGCCAAATGATAATAACAATAATAAATTAATGCATCAAGTAACGAATCCTCAATTATAATCACATGATAATGTTGAATGCATATTTGTTTAATATCACACTTCTTTAAACTGGTTTAGGAGAACCAAGGAGAGCACATTTTGCTTCCAGATACAGATAAATGTGGACAAACAGTGAAATTGATAATCCTCACATGGGAATGTGTACATGTATTCACTGTGGAATTTCTGCATTCCTGGACAAAATTTCCAAGAGACTCAAAGAGACTATAATATGATTTATGTTTAAGTGATACATTTTACTCTGGAGAGGAAAAACTTTCATATAGTTGGGAAGAAAATTTGATTGTAATAAGTATCTTCTAAAGATTGGAAAAAAAGGTGAATCATTATAAACAAATCTATCAACTCTATAGTTGCCAAGGATTAAAACCTCTGACTGGCACATTGCTTGGAATATATAGTAACTGTAGGCTGCATGTGTGACAAAGGATGACTGCGGCAGTCCACTGTTTGTTGAATTGGTCAACTAAGGCAGGTCAAGTGTTTAACAATATACAAACTATCTCTGAATCAACCATATATTCTTGCTTGCTATAATTGTTTCATTGATATTGCAAAATAATTCTAAAAAAGTTAAAAAGCATATTTAATAACATGTAAACCAAACTTCTACACTAAATGAAGCAATAAGTACATACATCCAAGCATTCCAGTGATTCCGATCTCTTCACGGACCAATGAATCCACGTCCTTTCCATCATGTCTCGTTCAATCCCATCATGCTCTTCCACCTTATGCTGACCTGCTGTGATGAGGTCAAAGTGCGTCTTATTGTCAACGTGACACGCCCACATGGCTGGTGTCAGGCCGTCACGGTCCCGGGGACTTCTGTTCACAACGGCCTTCAATAGCATCTTGGGAAAGAATGCAAAAACATGTCAACCATGCAAGTACATGTACATGTTAATTCAGCAGTAAAACCTAATTCAAACCTGATCCCTAGCCCTAATCCTAATCCTAAACACTTCTCCAATATAGTAGATGCACCTACATGCATGTACATCAAGACACTTTCCATCAAAAAGCAGTGTAGCCTAATGGAGTACAGCATCGAACCCTTATGTTAATCACACCCTAACCCTATCCTAGCCCTTTCCACTTCTCCAATATAATGAAAGCACTTACACCAAGAAACTTAATATCTGGGCCCCGTCTATATGAAGAGTTGCAATTAACTGAAACTTATTTTCGAGAGATAAGAGCCTGTAAACCTGCGATTGATTGGAGGACTTGAGATTGATCCGGATCAATCGCAACTCTTTATAAGACGGGGTCCTGGAAGCAATGCAGTTCAATGAAATAGAGCATCAAAAACTTATAATGCTAACACTAACACTACCATACCCTTGTACAATGTGATCAATGCACTTACATCTAGCAGTCTACATATGGAAGAAGTGCAGCACAATCATACAACCTGTATGACATAAAATCACTAACCCTAATTCTATTTCTCTCCTCTTAATCTCCACTTGAATGAATTGACTTCCATAAAGACAATCTATATCAGGGAGCTCTGTATCCTACTTTAAGAACAGAGCAAACTCTAATCCTAAACTTAACCACAACCCTAACCAATAACCCTAACCAATAACCCTAACCTTAATCTAATCCTAACCCTCCCCTACCCTAACCAGGCCATTCTGTTCTCCAACATAATAGATACACTTTCATCTAGAAGTCCATATCTGGGAGCAGTGCAGCATAATAAAGCATAACTCAAACCCTAATGCTAAACCTAACTCTGGCACTGACCCTAATTACCTACCCAAACCCTACCCTTTTTGCATTATAATGAATATACTTACATCTAGACAGTCTATCTCCGGGAGTAATGCAGCCCAATGAAGAGGTGCTCTTCCTATGTTGTCTTGTATCTCAGGATCAGCATCATGGGCTAAGAGCCTCTCTAACGCCTCCCAGTTCCCACCATGCACTGCAACATGACAGGCTGTGTAGGTATCTACCGCAAACAAACAAAACCAAGAATTATTTATGAGCATGAAATATTTATGATCATAGGAAAGTGTTATTACAATTTTCTTCATCTTCGGTGGGAGTTCCTTCATTCATTCATCAAATCAAATAAACACTGTCATTCACAGTTATAAATCAGTTGGTGCAGAATCAATTACAAAGTCATCCTAGAGATGGACTATTACAAGGCCTCTGTAATTCTACAGACCTACATGTATAGTCCCAATAGTACTAACAATAACCAAGAAGATGAAAACTTATATACTTGTATATAAACTGTTAGTAAAAATCTTCTTTTTTTTTTTTAATATATAAGGAAGGTACTTGGGAGGCAAATCGCAGAGTTCCCAATTTGCATTTGACTAATCACGTCTTTGCATTTTCATAGCTTTCTTATACTTCATTGAATTTTCCCATCCCTAATCTGTTTCCCTGTTACTTGCAGTATAACAAACAAAGGTCCTATAGGTAAATCTTAGAGTTGCCAATTTGAATTTGATTTTATTACAACTAAACAGTATCATAACTTTATTATTGTTCATCAGATAATCCTCACACTTTTCCTATTCTGTTTCCTCAAACAAATGTAATATCAGGATGAATTTGTCCTCTTTTTTTAATGAGCATGGAGATACTGGCTCAAATTCACAAAGGAGGTTTGTCGACAAACCTAGGTCTACATGTATATGCGTCATATGACACGTTTCGATGCGTTTTTACAAACGTTGGTTTGTAAAAACAACACGTCAAAACGCGTCATATGACGCACATAAACCTAGGTTTTGTCGACAAACCTCCTTTGAGAATTTGGGCAATGGAGTGTCAAACAAGCCTTTGAAGCATATTTCAATATAAAGTTAATCATCAAACAGAATGGTTCTATTAGATAAACAAGACTGGCAACTGGCTGGGCCGGAACCGCCATGATCAAGGACAAGCGACAAACTGGTGCGGGTTCATGTATAACATTATGACATCAGTCGTGGCACTGTGCGTAACAATGGAATGAGCATATATAGTAGCGCGTGAATACTGCACTGGTGTGTTGGCTCAGTCAGTAGAACGTCCGCCTCACAACCGGGAGGTCGTGGGTTCGAACCCCGGCCGCGTCATACCAAAAGACGTTAAAAGACGGGAGTTGCTGCTACCTTGTTTGTTGTTACAACAATATGGGATAAAGCAACGTTGATCTGGTGCTGCTCAGTGGCCGCCGGGCTCACGATCAATTGGGCAAAAGAATTTTCATTTTCGGTTTTTAAACTTAATAAAATTTGGAGAGGACTTTAAAAGATTATTATTATTATTATATTTACCTTCTGATCTCGCACTTGGATCAGCATGTGCAGCGAGCAAGACATCCAAACAGTCTAGTTTGTCATAGTGAGCGGCGTACATCACAGCGTTACGACCTAGGTCATCAGAGGCATGCACACTCATCGGTTCTGTCGACAGAAATATAAATAAATTACAAAAGAGACTTGAAAATAATCAATAAATTTAAATAAATTTCTTAGTACTTTTCCCCTATTTTTGAAGTGATTATCATTTATCAAAAGAGGAAGACGATAATTAAAAAAAGAAATAGATCACAAGAAGTTATATAAATATTTTTATTTTCTAGAAGAAGAAAATTATCCATAAGTTTTTAAGAACTCTCGTACATGTACCGGTACATGACGCTTTCATGAAATCATGACAAATACTGGTCAACAGATTGTAATCATTAGACAATATAACAATATTTATAAACTTCAATTAAATGGAGATCCAGTGGACAATACAGGTATTTAAAAACATGATCCAGACATATTAAAAAGGAAATTCTTGGTGAAATATTTTTCAATTTTGTCAGAGTTAAATCCTTTTACAATTTACTTTGATAATAGTCATTTTTAATTTGGTAACCCCAAATTAAATTGCATGAGGGATGTGGCCGTAAAATTTTCAATTTTTTGAAACTTTTGGCTAATTTGTATAAAATGTACTAAATTTTGGATTCTATGCTACACATTTTGAAAATATTTTATAAATATTCATTCAGTCACATAATAACAGAATATTTGTTCATTATTTTGGTAAAAAAGTGTTACATGTAAATCAAATTTGATGTCTCTTCTGCATTATTTTCATTTGCAAAAAAGTCAACTTGAATTTCACTACCCTTTTTACACGTTACCAAAGCTCACCATTAGACAAATTTTAAGCAAAATAAGAGCTAGCATTTAAAAAAAACTCTCACTTGGGAACATACCAAACAATGAGCAAAGATTTGTTCAATTTTGAAAGATATACTGTTCAATATACCTGACCTCATGGAAAAGTGAAATAAATATCAAGACAAATTAGAGCTTTTTGTTAATAACCCATAGGAAAGTGAAAAGTATGCCGCAGACCTGCCGCAGACCTGCCGCAGATCTGCCGCAGACTTTTAGTCTGCGGCAAAGAGTATGCCGAAGTATGCGGCAGAAAGAAATTTTGCTGCAGACTTGCCGCATACCAGTATGCCACAGGAACAGTCTGCGGCAGATCTGCGGCAGGATGAAATTTTGCTGCAGACTTGCCGCATACTAGTATGCCACAGGAACAGTCTGCGGCAGATCTGCGGCAGGATGAACCTTTGCTCCAGACTTGCCGCATACTCGTATGCCACAGGAACAGTCTGCGGCAGATCTGCGGCAGGATGAAATTTTGCTGCAGACTTGCCGCATACTAGTATGCCACAGGAACAGTCTGCGGCAGATCTGCGGCAGGATGAAATTTTGCTGCAGACTTGCCGCATACTAGTATGCCACAGGAACAGTCTGCGGCAGATCTGCGGCAGGATGAAACTTTGCTCCAGACTTGCCGCATACTAGTATGCCACAGGAACAGTCTGCGGCAGATCTGCGGCAGGGCGAAACTTTGCTCCAGACTTGCCGCATACCAGTACGCCACAGGAACAGTCTGCGGCAGGTCTGCCACAGGAAATCCCATTAAAGTCTAATAGGGCCAATTGAAACCAATCATCTCATGCATATTCATTATTACTTTACACGTGTGACAAAAAAATACATTTATCATGATTTGTTAAGCAAATTAAGACAATGCACATCATTTTTGTGATTTCTATTTTCCTTTTGCCATTATTAACCAATAGATTATTTTGTCTGATCATGTTACAATTACATTCACGTTTAAGCAATAGATATATTGATTACTAACCAAGAAACTATGATTACTAACCAAGAAACAATATACATATTTAGTATATATATGTGTACGAGCCTGTGACACTTTAAATGTTACTCTTGAATACACTTCAAATGATCAATGTGATGAAGTTAATACAATTGAGAATAGAATATACCTAATTGGTAATATCGATATATATTGGTATTACCTAATTGGTAATATCGATATTGCCAATATTGATTATGAAGTATCAATCAGTTTATCACTGGTTCTTCTACATGCATACTTTATTGCCACGTACTGGATATGAAAGAGTATGCGGCAGGTCTGCAGCAGGTCTATATGAGATATGAATATTTATGACGAAGAGTCTGCGGCAGGTCTGCAACAAGTCTGCGGCAGACCTGCATGCCGCAGACTCTTCATCATACTGAAAGAGTATGCGGCAAGTCTGCGGCTTCTATTGGTAAATCAATAATGATAAATCAAAATCGATTTTAGCAAGTGTCCACCATAAAAAGTATAGACTCTTCATCATACTGAAAGAGTATGCGGCAGGTCTGCAGCAAGTCTGCGGCAGACCTGCCGCGACTCTTCATCATACTGAAAGAGTATGCGGCAAGTCTGCGGCAAGTCTGCGGCAAAACTAATTTGCATGTGAAAAAGATGACTGTCTGCGGCAGGTCTGCCGCGGGAGTATTAATGATCAGACTTTTGCAGTATGACACAAACAGACACAATGGTGTGAGATACATGTACAGGTAATCTTTCAAATTTTCTTGAAGGGCAATAATGGAGTAAACAAAAACTTGAGATGAATTTCATATCTATAGTGACTGCACTTGATAATCAAAGCATGATTTCACTTTGGTCGGATCAGCTCGCCTACAGTGTAACCCCTTGCGGCTTTGCCTAGTGACTAAAAACCCCTTGGACGTTAAAGCACAAACAGTTGAGTTACAATAAAGCACTTGTCCTCTCTGCCTGATTCGATCAGCCACATATTTCATAATTTAATTTGATTACATAAAGTGCAGTATGTTGATGGACATTACTTACAACAGACTGCCATCTGCAAGATACATGTAGATTCACTTCAGAGTTATACGGTACATGTAATTGCATGCCTGTGGCCCAATGTTGGTATAATGATGGAACTACATGTACATGTACATGTATGCCATTCATATATTCCAAGTATAATCCAGATTTTATTTAACAATCGATTACTATGAATTGCAGCAAGATGCTAAGATTAATTCATATGTATTTGTTTGTCCAATGTACGTTCAACATGAATACTTGTCTTACTTACGTGTAAAATAAATGCTCAGACATATAAGAACATAAATAGGATTCAAAATATGGATACATGTTGGTGATGACAAAATAATAAAAATACATAATTTTGATTTTTGTTTGGTCGTTTGTGTCATTTCCTTGCATATAAATGAAAATTAGTAACCACTACACTGTATACACATCAAAATTTCAGCTTTTAAACTGAGTTGAAGTATATTGGAATAAATTTGATTAACAAGATATTTTAGAAAGTTATAGAAAACTACTGAATTATAATGGCAAATGGTGTTAATGATTATGAATGGTTCATACTGTAACATCACGGATAATCATCCATGTGATGACAATGATAATGATTAAATTCAAATCAAATCAGTCCAATTTGATATGTACACAGTATACAGTAATCTATTAATCATAATAAAAATATATCACAAGGAATATATACTGATGAATATTTCTATTATTGATTCTACCTATTTTATAATGAGAGTTTCCATGAATTCCTCATGATGTACTGTAAGTTCACGAGAAACACTGAAAAGGGGACATTTTCTGTGTGCTTTTGTACTGCAGAAAAAATGGACTCAGCTGCTAATTGGAACTTGAGATAATTAATCACTCTTCTTGTACATTTTTTTTTCTTCAGAGCAGCTAGTAATGTGTACTTGGACATTCATTGGCATCACTACAGCACTCAATCATCTTTCCATCATAACCATCAGATAATTGATGATCTAATTTACTTCAGGTCTCCTTGCAATCAAGGGCTCATTGATGGAGACCAAATGAAGCGTAATGAAAATTGTCAGCTTTCAGCTGGCTGGATTGTTTACATCGTTCCCCATGGCAATGGCCCTGGCCTTTTAATTCATACTCGATGTGTGGTGAAAGCGCTGGGAATGACGGGATGGAGGAGAGAAAAGAAAATAGTTCAATATTACAGTGACGAGTTCCACCGGTTCTTATGTTCCAATATCAGATGTAGCATGCTTGGAAAAGCTTTTGTGTGTATTGATTAATCGGAAGCACCGACCTACCACTGGTTTGCATATATAAGAGAATGTTCAGTGAAGCTAGAGCAATGCACAATCTTAATCTCACATATGCCAGCACCAAGACTTCAAAAGTACATAGCTGTATCATATAAACTGTAAACTCCTTTCTTGATTGCTTGAGAGGGAAGATAGGTTTCCTCAGTTTGTTCTTATTTATTCTTATCAGAGTTTATTACATTATTTGTTTAATAGCCTCAATTAATTCTGTTCTCACAGGAACAATATACTCTAATCTGGCAAAATCACCTTAAATATTGACCCCCTGGATGCAGTGATTAAAATGTTGTGTATTAGATCAGAATACTGCAGTCATAGAAAGGTCAATACTTTTGAAATGTGTACATATGCCTCCCCTAGTCAAAATAGAAAAGTCTAAAAAAATAGTGTGAGAAAAACACGTAGAACAAAACAGAATATACTCATTATTTATTTACTTTTCTATTTTCAACTTTGAATATATTTTAAATCTATATTTTGTTCCAAATCCTTAACCTAAAAATATGTTATTTGTTGTTTGTTAGTTTGTTTTGGGGGTCTACTATCCATTTTTTCCCACAAGAAAGTAGTATAGTTTCCTAATTATTATCATCATACAAAATATACAAATAGAAATGCAATAAAAATATTGAGAAAATAGCCTACAAAATATTTTATGCATGTTAAAAATGACCAGGATCATCTCTAACAGTTGCATTTGATTTTGCATGCAATTGTGTCGTGGACACAATGATCTATTTGGTCAGAGGGTACTCATTGCTCCAAGAATAATAATACAAATTACTGGCATATAGTTATACAAAATCAGACTAAACATGCTAGTCTTTCACAGCGCAAAAAAAGAAAAGGGAGCAGTGAGCAATTTAGTTCCCAAAAGCTCCAAAAGGGCTGAAAAAGAGATCTCATACAAACAAGGAGGGAATGGCTTTCTTAATATCGCTATGAGAAAAACTCACTTTTAGGACAATATATTTCCTGAACGAGCCCCTACGAACAGAAAATTATTGTTCATACTCTTTCACACATTTATTTCATAAAAATGTGGCTATAGGAGGCTTACATCTAGAGGCTTATGGGGCTATTTCAGTCTTTACAGGGGCAAATAGTTCTTAGCCCTAATGAGCATGAGCCACTCAATATCTAGTACGCTAAATAAATTGTTGATTTAATAATGCAACTACTATGATCTCTTATCAACAAGGGTTCTCATAGAAAGCCATTTCTTCCACTTCTAGCATCCCCATACGACAGATATTTCAACAAAAAAGTGAGGCTATCGGAGGCCTAACACAGAGGGCTGGGGATATTCAAGTCTTAGCCCTATTGAGCATGGGCCACTAAATATCTACAAATTGTGCACACAGTGTGTGTGGACGTGTGTGTGGACAAGCACTGAATCCAATGACCGGGGTAATAGTATATCTGTAAAGTGCTTGTCTACATGTATATAAGCACTTTTAAGCAGAATATTATTATTATTATTAAATTAGTATGCTACATGAACATACAATTTCTATTTAGTAAAGTACATGTTAGTCGTTACAGCTACTACTAATTATCAACAAGACCCTCTAAGAAAACCATCCCCTCCAGGTCTAGCATCTTACAATTATCTCTCTGGAACTGTCACAAAGACCATAAGTGAATCCTGCCCTACTTTATTGATTTCCTGAACACTATTGTTAGGTGTTTAGCCCCCAACTCTCTATTCTTCTTCAGATTAGAGCGCTAAGCAAGGATGCACCGTGCTCAGAGGAAACACACACCTTCCAAGGGTGGTTTGCTTCTATAGCTGGAACAAAGCCTTAGTTTCAAAGGCAAGGGTCCTAACTGTCCTTCGTTTAAAATCAGTGGGGTATGGTAGTCCCCTTCCAACTTATCTGACCAGTGGGGTGTTTCACAAAGACTAAGATCGACTTTAAGTTAGACTTAAGTATGGCAGGCTGTTCATGCTACCATTTGCTCTCACCATTCACTGGCATTGGTCTCTCAAGGGACGTACAATTTAATCATGGTCACAAATCTACAGAATTTACATTTTTGATAATTCATTATTGAAGTAAAAAATATTATTTATAAATCATAATGGTGAGAGCAAACAGTGCCATAGTTATGTAAGTCCAACTTAAATTTGATCTTAGTCTTTGTGAAACATTCCCCTTGATTGTTTACCATGAGGTACAATGTAGATGTCTTTAGACAAGTAGAATGTAAGCAAACTAATGATAATTTTCTGGATCTTTCATTCCTCAGTAAACTCTGCTATTCTGCATTTTACTAAAATCAGTTTGCATGTATATCCATTATTGTAGCTTCAAATATTCAGTGTAACTGCAAAATTCCTTTGATTCTGTGAGAATCTATGTTTCACTTATACTTTATACTAGTACCATAAATCAAGGTAACCTTAAAGATTTTTTATCAAATAACCATCCCATTGGTGCTTCATGAACACAGGGGAAAAAGGGCAAATTAGCCCCCAAAATGCCAAAAAGAGCCCCCGAAAGTCATAAAAGAGCCCAAAAAAAAATTGCATAGAGTTCAATGTAAAACAAAATAAAGAGTGTTATTTTCATGCAAGCAAGTTTGAAAAGTAGCCTCCCAAATTTTAGAGTATTTTTTCCCCTGCATGAACATAGATTTTTACACTCTAATTATCTCTGCTGAAACCAGGGTCAGTCAAAGAATACAATCAATAGTTATACACACACTACCTTGAAAGGTTTCTTTTCTCCTCCTCGCGAGCTCATTTGCATAAGTACACTGTTACAGCAAATAGACTGCTAAACAAGTTTGTGCTTTCTCATGAGCCAGCTATTAAGTGCTACTGTTTAATGTTGTTGGATTGAAATTGTGTGTATATAGCTGCCACCATTGTGGTATTGTCAATTAAGCCGTGAAATACATCACACCTTTCATTATGAGCACAGTAATAGGCTTTAATTGCAGAAACAATTTACAATCAGCCTTGTAATAATATGTATGAACCACATACAGAGACAATGAACCTGTACATTTTAAGGTACTATGAACACAAACGAAGTTGAAGCACTTGTAGTTGTCAGCTTTCACAATACCACAAAAAAGATAACAATTTTTCATGAAATTAAAAGAGAAAAAAAAAGTTTGATGATCATCATGTTAGTTGACTGTTGTAATTATAGGCCTTTACTAGACTAGCCTTTACACAATTTGAGACTGGTCCTTGTTACTGTTTCTCTACAATTATGCATAATCACATAATCTGTGAATTCTAAAATTAACATTACTTTCTATCATACAAGTAATCACTTACATGTACATGTATTTCAAATCCCTATAAAGAACTCTTGACAAATAAGAACATACAAAACATCCTAGAATGAAATCTCTTTTTTCTAATATAAAATTATAAAAGCAAAACGTTAATTTGTTAAACTGCATGTACTAACCTCTACATCAATTTGCTTCAAGAAAAAAAAAGTCTCATTCTAATATCAAAGGCAGATATTTAAATATCTGGAAATATATGTGACACCATGCATTTGATATGATAGCTCTAGCTTAGAATGGCAAAATAATTCATCAATACCGGTATAGAAATAGTACTAAATTTATGAATGACTTTTTAAAGACATGCATACTAGCCAAAACAGCCCCAAAGTACTATCATACTCCTCTACATGTACATGTACATCGCTACCCAAGGAAATCTCTTCTTTACCCCTCCAATACCATTAAACTTTCAAATTTTTCAATCAAAAATTGGATTTCAAAAGGCAAATGATCTAGAAAAAATGCCACATAATTATGCCCCTGATATCACTATAATTTCTGGAAGAAAGACAATCTACAAACAAATTGAAGATTTTTTAAATTTGGGTGGTTTAAACCACCTAAAACAATTAAAGGTAAAGACCAGTATTGGAAACGCCCCAATTTCAAAAAATGAAATGGAAGCTCTTATTACCAATCATGTGAAAGAATATGTTATGACTAATACATGATGATAACAATTTTGACGGGAAACCGCCTACTAATTGATATATTTGGTAAATTAGTTTATCTACATGGTCTGTGACAGATAAACGTTGAGCACGTGTGCGTATAGTCCCATATACATCTTTCTGTGTACAGACGTGCTTGTAACTTTACGAAGACTGGGCCATATTTCTTATCATTTTGATGATTCCAGAACCTTGCAGTACACACCAATACTTTATGCTAGATGATCAACCTTTTTTGATCGATTCCACAACGTTTCTTTCACAATGCAATCGCATGACCATAACTGGTCTTTACCTTTAAAGGAATATGAAAATAATGCGCTGCAAACTTATACAGTCAATCCCCAGCACCTGCTAATCCATGTCTATAAATACAAAAATTGGTGCGTGCATAATAAGCAATGCATAGGGTCATTCCAATCTTTGAGTTTGATCCTTAGAATTGCTCATTTTGTATGACTTTGGTTTTATTTTAAAGATGAGATTTTTTAGTTTCCTTGTCAATGGCAATTAATGCATAAATATTATGTCCGCGAGAGGATTGGAATAGATATTTAGGGTTGGATATTGGCAAAAAGAGATTCCTTCTTCTTTTTTGCTCTCCAGCGCAAATCTTCACCATTAAATTACTATTACATCAACACCAAAAATGATCAGCTGTAGAATGAGTAGATTTTTATCTTTTCATTGGCATTGGGTAAGGATATTATGAGAGAAAAGTACTAATGGCCAAAAGTTACTCAAAATATCAATATTTTTGTAATGGGTAGGATCATTTTATTTTAAAATCTATGGATTATGTTAAATAACGAAGATAAAATGAAGAGCAAATTGTGAAGAATCGACACAATTGCATTCTACCATGAAAAACTGAAGATAACGCTCTCTATCGTCACAAAAGCCTGATGCTGCAAAATCACTCTGGAAATCATGCTCAGTTCAGCTACATGTACCGGTAACGCAAATCAGTCAGGTTTGCGAACAAGATGCTAAATAAATCTTCACAGTGAGCCTGGGGTCTGACTGTATGTTTATCTACTCAAAAAAGGAAATTATTTTCATAATTCATACTCTACTGTATGTAAATTTACAGTTTTTAGTGACTCTTTATCCTTTACCCATACCAAACATAGAAGACGAGCCCCCCCCCCCCTCTTTATCATGGTTCCTTACCCTTCTCAATGAGCTGCTCCACCAGCTCCTTGTCTCCTTCCTTAGTAGCCTGGAGAATGAGAGGCATCATGGGTAGCTCCTTCCCATCCAAAGGCAGACTCACCCGCAACTGATTGGTACGGTCCGTGCTCACCCACTTCCAATGGAAGCGGTCGGGATCATCTTGGTGCAGAGAGGAGGGGCCGCTCCCTCTCGGAAGGGACTGGGCCAGCTTATCTCCACCACTTCTCTCCTTCTCCTGCAGGAGCCACACAGTCTTAAAGTATTTCTTCATGTGAAGGAGCGCCAGGTTGAGGTTGTCCCGGAGCTCCGCACATTCCGGGTCTTCTGGGAGCTTCATCAGGAACTCCTTGATGAAGGAAACTGCCTTCTTGAAATCTGAAATTCAAGAAATAGTAACAGTAATTTGTAGGGCTGAGCTGCATGGGGTTAAAAAATGGTTACCCGGGTCCCACCTGATAGCTTCGGTTCCTGGGTAAAAATATAAGATACCTGTTTACAAAAAACAAACCCATGATGTGATGTCTTTAGCAGTCAAATTAGGCTAAGTCAAATAAATCAAGGTATATTCTCACATTGAACATTTTTTTTTAAATCCATGTTTGGAGACGTTTGGTGAAATTATCATGTCTCTGAAAGTCGAAAACTTGTGTAAAAGTAAATAGAGAACATACCGGTATATGAACTGTAATTTTCATTCATGCAGGATGACAGAATAAAGCACACACAAAAAATGATGTTGGAAAAATTAAACAGTCTTCCAAGTTTCTTCTCCATAACATACAGATGCAGACTGAATACTTTTGTTTTATTTATATTTTCTTTAAACTTAACAGTTAACACTGCATCGATCCTTCTCTTAAAAGCTGATATTTACTTTGTAGGCCTAGATCTAATCATAAGTTTGTTATAGCAATAATAGCAATTATTGTACTATACCAAGGCGCACACACAGAATTTCAAATCAAGTTTCAAATTGGCAATGCGATAAGATTTTTTGTGTAGACCATATGTAATTGCCTTTCAGACAGAACCAACATAACATCACAAACTCTCAAAAGTGTGCATCGTTTTAGTAATAAATTGCACGTTAGCTCGTTATCATCAGAAACACATGAAATGTAAGCAAATCACTAACACTCTGGTATCAAATTTTTACAAATTCATGACCAACCACCATGCGCGCCCCTATAAATCTATAGTAGTACTGTAAAGTTGAACAATAAATGTCTACATGTATCCTAACTCCGGGAAGCTCCAACACCGGCGTCGCAGTCGGAGCTTCCCGGAGTTACATGTATCCAAGTTGTCTTGATCTTGGTGACTATCATATCACTCCTACAAAGTACAATGCATGAAGTAAACCGTAATCGGTATGGCCATGACATGGGTCGACTCTGTACTGTAACAAGAACAGAAATGGTGGCCACGCCACGAACCCCCAGACGAAAAGCGAAGGGTGTTTACATACAATCACCGGCCCGGTAGATCTTAGACCGAATTTTCCGTCTCTTTCGTTCGTTAGCCTCTTATTGGGGTAGGGTCGGCTCTCTCTTTAGAGCCGACCCTACCCCAATAAGAGGCTAACGAACGAAAGAGACGGAAAATTCGGTCTAGGTAGATCTACACTGCTTAAAATTCTTTTCCTCACCTTTTCCTTTGATAGCCATGATGATATCACCTCATCTCAGAATCTGTGAAGCAAGCTGAATGCGACTTTATGCTAAAATTAATCCAGGATTCCTTCCAAATTGCGATATTTTGAAAAAATTCAGCCATGATCGGAGAGATGCAGATCCATCGTCAAGTAATTGGCGTCTCGTTGATGCGGGAAATTCGCATTCGTTATTTACAAATTACATATTGTGTTATGGACGTAGATGGAGGTAGTCACTGCCTTCTCTTAGTGTCCCTTTATAAAAGGACACTACCTTCTCTGCCTTCGATGCTATACCTTCGATAATATGACAAAATTTTATAGGAAAATTTACCTTAATTTAAATAATTTCTTCCTACAAACTACAATCATTCCTGACCTACTGTCAATAAACATGACACACAGCTTGAATTCTACTCATAAATCACAAGTCATTATTATATCCAGAACTGATTAAAAGATCGGATGAAAAAGTTACAAAATAAATAAATAAAAGTATAAACAAAACGAAAATATAACGAATTATAATCAGTAGGCCTACATACGTGATATCAAAGAGACAAGAAAGGAAATCGAGGTACAGAAGTACGTAGCTGAGGAGATGAAGAGAGCGAGAGTGAGAGGCCGGTGAGAGGGAGGGACAGGGAAAAGATGTATAAATACTAATATGAGGGGAAAGATCAAATGTGAGCAGAGAAAGCTAGAGCTGATAGAGAGAGAGAGAGAGAGAGAGAGAGAGAGAGAGAGAGAGAGAGAGAGAGAGAGAGAGAGAGAGAAGTAGAGAAAAGTAAATTGTAGATACTAGACTGAGACATTCTATCCGATATTCACATGCATACATACAAGTATTATTGCTAAAAAGTACAATGGAAATAAAGATTACACAAATGCTTGAAATGTACAAACTGTTTGCATATATAGCAGTATGACGTTATGTGTTCGGCCGAATTTGACAAGCGAGATTATAATTATAAGACATTTATTGTCATTTAATAGAGAGAAGGGGGAATAGGGAACGATGAGAGACAGAAAATAGAAAAAATAGAGAGGGGACGGGAGGAGGAGGAGGAGGAGGATGAAGGGAAATATAGATTATTAAGGGAGGAAGACCAGGGTAAGAGAGAGAGAGAGAGGAGAAGGGGAGAAAATGTATGCAAAAGAGTTACATTTACAGCAAATATGAGAATTAAAGACCGAAACATGATTATACATTCCAGGCATGCACGTTTACCCAAGCAAATCCATTGTCATACTCATTTCAAAGCCCCTTGCACACTAGTAGTAGTAACAATGTAAAAAAGTGTTTTTATATGGTCCGTTAAATGAAGGCGTGGCTTATTATAGACCCTTATCTTGTACTGAGCCCTATGCTGAACACTTTGTTGTTATTGTTTGAATTCAATCGTAGTTTCCACTTTATAAAGTATATATAGCTCAAAAAGTTATTCTTACTTAAAAGGGGAATTAAGAGAATACAACTAGTGATTATGCAGATTATTGTATAGAGTATACATTTTATGGAACCCTTATCTGCACATGGACACATAATGAAACATAGCGCAAATGCCAGGTGAGTAAAGGGGAAATTCCCTCCAGGCCACGCGCTTCATTTGATTGGGGATTTCCCCTCGAGAACAAGCGCGCATATTATGTATGCGCATGCATACAATTATTTAGGGAATTACCCCCATCTATTCAAGGACACACTATCGTTGCCGTTTGCGGCCCCCCCCCCCCCTTTTTCTCTTTCTCTCTCTCATTTCTTTCTTATTTTCTCTATTTTTTCTTTCTTTCTATTAAAACTTAATGAGCCTATACGGCCGTGGTCGATATAAAGCAGTTAAAAAAGAAAACGTGTATTTAAATCAATAGCAGGAGGATTAAAGACTAGACTTGGTTTCAAAAATTGAAACATGGAACATTAAGGTTTTTCTTTGTTAGGCAGATAGATATTCAGTAAACCAAAGACCAGCGGGCCGGTTATCCCGACTATCTGCGGCGGTTAGACACGAGTTTACCCGGCAGCTAGGTTAATTTCTGAAATCCCCAAAATATGAAAAAATGCTCACAAATTAGCACACTGTCTTGAAAAAGGTACCCCCCCCCGTCCCATTCTCGGGGTCATGGAAGGGCAGAACAGATATTCACTTGTGATAACATTTGATCCGCCCTTGTCAAGCTGACGGGTAATTAGAAAAACGAACTTTCTTAAGAATCCATGACCCATTTAACATGTTACCCCCGACACTGCCAGATAACGATATACTTCGGTCGAAAGGTATCTGTGTCGAGAGGGGCAAATGTAAGAAAAGCCCAGGCCCTCACGGATCATTAGAGTCAACAACCTAGTACGGTGCTCCCAGCACGATCGACCCCTCCCGGCCCCGCCCTTGTTAAAAATATGCTTGTGGTGAAAATGTATTGTAGATCTATAGGGGCACTTTCAAATCCATGAATATATCTCTCAAATTATTTCGAGTTATCTGAATGATAAATTCCGTGTGTAAAATAACAAATTAATATCAAAGCTCGAAAAACAAACAAACAAACAAAACTTTAGCTGTAGCTAGTCACTGAGCTGTCCATGTTTATACACTGACATACGACCCATTTAGCTGATTGGGAAATATTATTTACACGTATACGAGACTAGAGAATCTTCAAGATAATTGTCAGAAGCTTCAAGAGACCGAAAGTGTCGGTCTTGTGAGCTCTGGCCTCCAACAGAAATGCTTTTTAACAGGGATGAAAATACAGTGAAACCAATTGCTTTAGCGACCACCTGACAACTATTTTGAGCAGGGGCGGTGGAGCAACTTTCAAAGAATTCAATATAAATTCCGTTTATTCACATACTATATGAGGAGGCGTTAAAATAAGTTAGTGAGAGGAATTTCCTTTTACTGTACTATTTTATGACACACACTGTTTTGTGTAACTTCCTTAAAACAGTTGTTTTGTGATCATAATGTATATTTGTCATTAAATACTTTTTTATGAGTAACATAATTATATCAACTATAAATGCGAGCGACCATAATGAGTGATGTTTGAGGAGAATAACAGAAAAAGGGTTCCGAAGTCGGGGCGCATATTATGGAGAAAAGAAAAAGAGGGTACTTATTAGGTAGTACTTATCAAAAGGTAATAGGAACCTAATATTAGAAAAGAAAAAATGCGCGTGTCAAAGTAAACAAAAAAAGGGGCAATTATTAGAAGTGCAAGGGGCACTTCTCGCACCTGAAAAGGGACATTCACCTGAGGTGGAAAAAGGCACTATTGAGAATGCAAAAGGGGCATCTGTCGGAGGAAAAGGGGCACCTATCAGATTTTTTAAATGGCATTTATGAAAAGGGAAAGGGGCTCATATAAAAAGAGGAAAAGGGTATACTTATTAAAAAGGAAAAGGGGCACGTTTCAAAATTATAAAGGGGCACTTATCAGAGGTGAAAGGGGCATTTAGAAGAAAGGAAAGAGGCAACTTGGGGGGGGGGGGTCCTGAGAAAGTGGGGGCACCTTGTCCCCGTGCCCCCAAGGGAGCGCCGCCTCTGATCTTGAGGGTTCTCTAGACCGATATCCTTTGGGGAAAACATTCCCAAATCAGCCAGTAGAATTATAGTGGACAAGTTATACTAAAGTTACATTTTGTTTTATGTTGATTGTTGTTTCTTTTTTCGAGTTTGTATATGTTTTGATTTGTTTATTTTCCAGACGCCAGTAGGAAAAAAATGAATGAACAAACCTCAAAGCAAAATACAAATTGGAATAGAAACAAATCAAAACAAAGCAAAGCAAGCAAACCATGTAATTGGCAGTAATAAATAAACTAAATGTGGAATGGTACTGAAACAAAGTGTTGATGCTTGTCAATGTTATCCAAAACTGTATCAAGTTATATCCAGTTAAATCCAATTGTCATTTAAAATATTGTATACTAGAAAAAGATTTGTGTGTTTTGCATTGATGTTATTGTTTGTAGTAGTAGTAGTAGTAGTAGTAGTAGTAGTAGTAGTAGTAGTAGTAGTAGTAGTAGTAGTAGTAGTAGTAGTAGAAGTAATAGTAGAAGTAGTAGTAGAAGTAGTAGAAGTAGTTATACTAGTAGCTTGTTATTATTATAACGAGTATTTAGGCCGGCACCACATTCTAAAAGTACCATATCACTTTCGAAATTACATAATGTGAAGAGAAACAACAAAATACATAGACTCATAAAATAGTTTAATAACGTTTTGTTACTGGGGGAAGAAGTACGTTTTAGGCCTAAGGGATTTTTTGAAAGAGACAATACAGGTTGATTATTTAGGATCCTCACATTTTATATTGTTTAAGTTTATTGTTTTTTGATGTAAATGTTGAACAAATAAACTTCAACTTCAACTTCAATTCTGTGCTGGAAAGTAGGATATGGCGTTTTCGAGGCAGCCACTGTATTATTATTATTATTATTACCACCATCACTATCATCATAAATTTATAGATTGATACGTAGGTTTCAACGCATTGACTGTTCAATCCATTCCAAACTGCCAAAGGACATGGTCTTTTTCCCAGGGTGGATTTGAAAAACAAGCTACATAATTATGTGACTTCTTCGTTTTATCCAGAGAAAAACCTGCATGTACATAAAGACCACTCAAGGGAGACACTGAGTAGAGGTTCCTTTAGTACGCGAGATGATAAACACTATATTCAAGGGATACATGAAATATTTTCTTTGTATATAGGCTAGACAAGTGGTTTTCTATATTGGTGGTCACTCAAGCAGGTTTTATAAATAGAGTGGTATGGGATATATGCCAATTACTTACATTTGTATCAAGAGATGGCCGACATATTTATTTTAAAAAATTACCAATTCCTGAGTGGAAAATCGTCGATAATATTGTTGATTACTAGAAGCATTTGCTATCAAAGAATTTGAGCTACATGTTGTTATACGATAAATGTTGTACATGTATTATTATTTGAGTTATATATACATACATGATATGTATATGTACCAAATGATAAATGATATATATATATATATATATATATATCATTTGGTTGTCCTCGACCGCCCGCTCGTCATTTTCGGGCCGCTCGCATTTTTTATTTTTTTTAACTAATATTTTTTTTTTTTTTATTCATTTTTTTTTTATAATTTATTTTTTTTAAATTTTTTTTATATTTTTAATTTAATTTTTTTTGGGGGAACAATCTTAAATGCCAAACACACCATTTTATGCATTTGCAAGGATCAATTTAAATGCGTCCCGTTGCCAGTTTTGTCTTTTCAGTACCCAATTAGGTATTTATTAAACTTGCCATTTTTATTTTTCTATGTCAAAATGCCGTTCATTCAAACCAGGTTCTGAGCATTCTTAAACTCATTTTAAAGCCCATCTGTACTAGTCTACAGGAGGGATTAGACCACCCTTCAAGGTCACTGGACAGGTGGTTATCTCATCAAATCAGCTCTCAGTTAATATAAGATAAAGAGGATCATGGGGGACCAATGGTCACCGATTGGGCATTGTTTGCTACATAGAGGGCGCAAGTAGCTATAGTACAATGGAGATTTAAAAGGTGCTGTATTTCAAAGCCCAAAATACTTTCTGTGTTGGTCTTGATATTCATTGTACATTAAACTAGTCTTTTACCATATTTAAGTGTTTTATAGACTGTGTTTGTTTAAATGCTTGACAATCCCAATGATTTTTTTTTTTTTATGGAAAAAAAAATATTTAAAAAAAAAAAAATGGGGGGGGGGGGGAAGAAAAAAGAAAAGACACACAAAAAATGAAGTTAAAAAAAAAAAAAATAGATAAAAAAAAAAACATCCGCCCGCCCGCCCCTGGCCCCTACTCCAGAAAAGCAATCGAGGACAACCAAACAATTTTTTTTTTTGGCCTAACTGACGTCCAACTCAAGTTTTGTGATTTCAGTATCATGAGCGCCGGGCACGTTTCAGATATGTAACATCTTTCAGACGATTAGCAATTTGTTTTTTGAGAGAGAAAACGACATTTTCAATATATTCGCTGCTAGCCTCGATCCCTTGCGTTGTTGCAGTTCAAATGCGCATACACTTTGCGCAGGTATCGCTAATATGCTATCGTCAACCGCCGAGTGACGAAATTGAAGGAGGGGAAAGAGCTGCCACTGTACTTATTTAAGATTTAAATCCACTTCATTCACAATCATCCTGTCATTCTGTAACAAACCACCGACTCAAAAACAGTTTGGATACATTTAACTAATGGCTGAGGTGGAAAGATTGAACGTAGATAATATAATAGCACGATTATTAGAAGGTAAGTACTAGCTTTTTTTTGGTTGAACCCGCTATCCGATTCGTTACCGGGGAGCCGATGTCGATCGTTCATGTAGTGAATGAGATCTGGGAGGGAGCGGGTTGTACCGGTACTCTCTACTTTTTCAAATGAAGATCAGAATAAATAAGGAAATACACATAGAAAGCGGTTGCCTCTTTTATTTTGTCACATTTACGATTGTCGCAATATTACACAAGTCATAGATTGACTATTTCTTTTTAAGTTTTAGTGTAACTAAGATTAATCATGTAACGAACTGAGTGTTGTGAGTGTGACTGAGTCTGACTCTGAGCCGTCGACCCGTCTAGTGTAGAGTTGGACGTTGTGTGGGCAACCATACCATCGGCCATCTGACCATGTAGTTACGGGCTAGGTGATTTATGAAATAACTTGGTATGCATTTGCTTATGTGGAGAGCCATGGAAGTAAAAACACGAATGTTAATGTAATGACACATTCCCCCACACACGAAGAACCTTGCGAATTACTGTTTCTGCATTTGCTGGAGGAGTGTCTCTTCCTTTGACTTGAGTTTGAGTCGTGCAACACACGTTATTAGAAATCAGTGAAGAATTTGATTTAAAAATGTGGAATTTTTTAACCAGATTAATATATCTATTTAGAGCTTTGCTTACCTTTGACGTGCTCAGGAGGAGTCTTCTTCTTCTTCTTCAAGATAATCTGCCTCCTTCAATACTGAAGATTCTTGCAGATGCCGTATAGACTACTCGGCCTGATTGGGGTGTGCAGGTGGACCATTACACCGGGGTTTCCCCCTACTCTTATACGAAAAGTGCAATGGGTTCTTAACGTGCAAGGGTGGTGACTCTCCTGTACGCGGGGCCTCCATTTAACGTCCTATCCGAGGGACGGAGTGTTTTCCACTTGACATAACCTGCGTCTATGAACAAGGGAAGGGGCACGTTAACACACAACGCAGACTTCAGTCATCCGCCTCGGTGGGAGTCGAACCCGGGATCTTTGGTTCGACAGGCAGACGCTTTACCGACTGAGCCAACTCGCCTCCGAGTCGGGCTGCATTGTAACTCGGCTTGAAGACAACTCGACCCAGCTGCACAAACGTTTGTTTAATGTTACATGTAGACTCTAGGGTAAAAATAAAATGACAAAAACTGACCGTTTTTGCAGCTGGGCCGAGTTAGCCCGGATTCGTTCAGCATTGGCTAACCCCGTATTAAGTTGGGGCTTTGATGAGACCTGAAGATCGAAGCAGCACCTTCGCACCTTTGATTGGTATCGACAAAAAGTATCGGTTCAAACATGGACATTTACTATGATTACAGTTCTTGCATCATTATTAGGGTGTCTGATCGCGCACCCGATGTTGTGTCCTAAAATTCTTCCCATAGAGATTGCACGCATCCCTATGCAGTCTACGTGCATTGCGCGACCATGCAAAATTGGTCAATTTTTTTTTTTCTAATAGAGATTCTTTGTGATCCTGAAGGTGATACTCAATAAATGAGGTGTCATATGAAAGAGCAGGTGAATCCCCATATCTCCAAAGGGGCTGCATCTCGGATTTTTAAAAATATCTTTGTCAAAACAGTGATTTAAACATTGTGTCCTGGCTATTTAAACTCTGGGGTTTGACACTTTTGAGATATGCAGCCCCGATCGATAAGTAGTCCCAGTCCTGAGGAATATATCTATCGGTAAGCGCTTATTTTTTCGCTAGCCCCCAGGGATCACAAAGAATTGCAGTTTAAAAATACCCTTCCCCCTATTTGTTGGATCAGCTAATTAGGGAGGCGTGCGCTCCGCTCAGTCCAAACCATGGTTACATCGCGTAACATCTCCCCGTACGAACGAAACTTGAATGAAAGTATGGCTAGCCATTCGCGCAAAAATACCCGTAAGTGAATACACGTTATAGTCAATGGCAATATCGCGGAGACAACGTGGCTCAAGCTGCAAGTCGCGCATTCAGCTTAGCAACATGCGTACGATATGCATATGCTTGCACATCGCGCGATACAGCTGTTTGGCTAAATTTAGCAAAACAACATAACTCTGCGTGTACGTCTTTTTCGTCGATTCTGACCAAATCGATATGAATATTGCAGCGTGTTGGAGGGGCTGTATCTTTTGATAGAAACATCGGTGAGACTTGAAATTTGAATTGTATTATTCTGATTACATTTTATTCAAATATCAAACAAAAATGTTGAAAAACGATCCCAAATTGAAAATTGAAGAATCGTTCAGACACCCTATCATTATTAATGCATTAAAACTGAGTTATTTAACAGGATGATGCTTTATTTTGAATGGGTAATTAATGGGTAAATATAAAGCTAGGGCGTCTGAATGATTTTTCAATTTTCCTTTGGGATCGTTATTCACCATTATGGTTAGATAATTGAAAAAAACGTTTTATCAGAATAGCACATGAAATTTCAAGACCTAGATGTCTAGGCATTATTCATCCAATTTTTGTTGGAATCAACGAAAAAGACATGCATATACATGCAGAGTTGTTTTGTTTTGCCACCACCATACCACAGGAGCAGTATCCAAGGTCCGTCTCCGAAAACTCACGCAATTTTACTTCGAGTTGCAGTTGAAGGCGCCGATTTAATAATAATAATAACAGTAAACAATGCTGTTTTAAAAACCAAAGATGGCAGAATAATCATTTTCCTCCGAGTCCAAACAGAAATCCGGACATTTGGTCCCAGTTTCTGAGTGTTGAGTTTGACAATGATTGAGCTGGGAAACATTTTTACCGGCGGTACCATGCCAGCGGTTGGCGCTCTCCCTGGCACAGGTAAGCGTCAGCCTGGACAGTGCCAGGTGACCGGGAGTTTTTTTTTAATTTTTTATTTGCAGCCGAATATTCAAGTACAAGAAATCGTACTCGAGTAGTTGTCAACAGTGCAGGTACTCAAGCATTTGACTACTCGTCGCAGCCCTAATTCGAAATTAACTTATGTTCCAAATTTAAAGTAAAAGTTTTTTTTTTGCAACTTCACCTAGCAGTAGCACTCTGCTGGCCCGCCTGCCGGCTGATGCTCACCCGTACCTAATAGAGCACCGTCATGGTCCAAGCTCACTCAGTCACACATGGGATTTCGACTCAACAATCAGAAACTTAAAAACTAAAATAGCCTACATGTATGTCCGAATTTCTGTTTGGACTCAAAGGAAAATGTGTCTGTCATCTTTAGTTTTAAAAACAACATTGTATTAGTTACTATCATTTGTGACAAGTTCACGAGCACAAATCGGTGCCTTCAATTTTGCTCGCCTTGTAGCAAAATGAAGGTTTTCTAACGTACTACGATCTGCTAAAAAGCAGAAAAGCAAAAAAAAAAATAAGGGTGCGTCTTATACACAGAGATTTACGGTAGCCCCCGAAAATTCCCCAAAGAAGTCTTATGGTTACTAATACTAATGTATGCACATTCATTTTTAACAAAGTCTGTTCTATTTGCGGGTTCAGTAATGACATCATGGTAAGCGTGCAATGCTGAGGTCACTGTGGAGGTGATTGTTATCACAGTGACTCACTGATGTATGCAGGAAAACACTGTCCATTTTGGGGTAGTTGGTATCAAAAGACTTCCGTAGATGCTATGATATCAGTCTGTATGTGGGGGTTGTACATGTACGTGTAGTAGTGGTACTGTTGGTATAGACAAGTACTGTATGTTTTTCATCTAATAGTATCCATGACTATACATCGGCAATATGTGCAATGGACATGAATGAAGCTCCAGACATGATAAAAAAACATGTGTTGTGTTTGGTTAAAAAACACATATTGATTAAATAAAAGACCTCCACCCCTCTTTTATCTTTGTCACTAATTTTATTTTGGATACATGTAAATTATATGGAGAGATTAGATTAAATAGAAGAAACAGTTTAAACTATACATTGAATAATAATTATTAACTTTTTCCCCCTTCTATTTTGGTGATTAAATTTGGATGCACCATTATCAGAAAGCAGAGAAAATGTTTAGCCTGTAGACCTGCGACTGAGTGTACATTGAATAAAAATGATTCTATCCTTTTCCTGAATTGTAATTCAGGATTTTTATTCAAATTATCAACCATGTTATTTATGTAGTGTTCTTTTTTTGTATTGTAGTGTATAAATAATGTAAGATATTTTAGTTTCCTTAACCCCAGTTTCGACAATTTATTAAAGTTCAACACTTCTCTAATTAAATTATATAAATCCTAAACAAATAATCAATGAGAATGGATTAATTTTCTCATCAATCAGCTCATATTTAGCTGTTTCATCTTGCGTCATCTTTGTAGAAGTGTGAGATTCAGGCCTGGTGAGATTCAATAAAATGACCAATTACAACAAAGTGCGACACATTGCATCAGCTTGTGGAAAAGTGGGTACCGGTAATTCTTTACTGCTCTACTCCCTGGTACAGCAATCCTGTTACTGTACATGTAGTATGTGTACTGTTTCACTTTGTATACGTACATTCATGTACATGATGCTTGCCTTGTGGATGCATAGCTTGATTAGCTTCTATGCACAATTAAAAAGATTACCTTATTAATAGTACATGTACCTACATGTAATATGAATGTACATGTACACTGTATGCTAGCACTGTACATATAGATTGTAGACCATGACTTAGAATTTACGCATATATTAATATATGCAAAAAAAAATATATGTTGTGTACCGGTACATGTAGTCAGGATTTCAATCCTGCTGAAATCAAACAGCCGCATATGATTAGTACAATGCTCATTTTGTTTACATGGCATTAGTGCATGAGTACTGTGGTTCATTAAATTCACTAGCTTAGTTCAGATCTATTATGTAAATTATAAACTGACCATATATCCAATGCATATTTATCAGCTTCATTAATTATCTCAACCTTGGTGCCTTGAATTGTGACCTCCGTTATTGCATCATTACCAGAGCCTAATTACAGGTACACATCATGTAGTCACACCATGTATAAAAGGATG